GCCCCAGGATTCTAGTTACAAGTTCATATTTTTGTCCCTTCAAAAAGAGGTAGTCTTGGTAAACTCCAGGCTTCTGTTTCATGTGGTTTAGCAGTCTGTGCGTGTTAATGTCAAACATATCTATATGGATATATATCTCAGTTGGGGATTCTAGAAGAAACAAAGCTGATAAGCTGTTCCAGTCCTTTGGGCTTACGACAAGGAATAGCCCTGAATGTCAGGTTTGTGCTTACTTGTGTTCACTTAGGAAAAAAAAAAAAAAGAGGATGTCATTTCCCTGCTTAGGTAAATGATGGCTTCCGTAGTGAAGGGAAGAGGTGGTTGAGTTTGTTTTGAGGTGGGCAATAGTATTGCTTGCGTGATTAGTTGGTTTGGGTTTTTTTTTTGTTTCGTATCTGTTTGACAAAGTCTGTCTCCATGCTAAGCGAGGGGTGGTTATACTTTCTCCATTCTGCCAAATGCTGCACACTGTGGGATACTTTCTTCTGTGTACTGTGGAATATACAGTAAAGCCGTATGGAATTAATTTTGATTCTGAAAGCTGGAATCAAAATGGCATTTTCATAATTCCTCACCTGCCTCCTTACTATCTTTTTTTATTGTTTAGAAAACCACTTTCAAATGAACAGATAGATAAACACTGTGATGTTCATAACTTCAAACAGGTTGGCTTTTAGCAATGCATTTAATGCCCTGTGTTGCTTCGTTTTCCAACTCCCAACAGTATTTTGCCCAGCTTTTGTGGTACATTCATTTCCCTTTGCCACTCTACAGCGCCACTGAGGAAGAAGAGGTAGAAATAATGAACTGCTGTTAAAAGATCCCTTCTTCAATGAGCTTCGCTCAGTGCAGAGCTGTTTCAAAATTTTGCAGAAGTGCCATGTGAATGTTTGGTCAATGTTTTTAAGGATTTTCTATTTTAAGAAAAACTAATGAAAATCTCTATTTCCAAATAAAAATTTATTTTTAAATATTAAAGGGACATGGTGAGATAGTTAGGACTCTTATTCTTTTTTTTTTTTGGTCATAACTGTAAAATAAACTGGAAAATGGGAAACTGTTGGAATTGGATCCATAGTTTCGTCAAACAGCTCTAAATATCTCAATTAAAAAAAAAAATCCGAAACCAAAATAAACCATAAAAAACTTTGCCATATGATTTCCAAGTGGAAAAGAGCAGCCTGGAAAAACCCAACACTTTGAAATGGCAAAAGGAGAGGGCAGAGCTACAATTAGAAAATGAAAGAGTTGAAACGCCATTTGTTAGGTCCTGACTTGTTAAAAACTGGAAACTTGGAAGTTTGGCAGAGCATATATCAAAAGGAGTAACTGTTGGTTACTCAGTTATTCTGCTCAGTCTTCACTGTTGCATTTACCATGGGGTGGTTTACGTGAAGCAGGTAGGAATTGTGTTCACTTCTGGATGTTGAATTGTTGGGGCAACATTCCAAAGAAGACTGAGTTGTTCCGACAGTTCTGCAAGCAGTGAGGACCTGTTCTTTGCTTATTCCACCTCTGACATACGCTTCAGATGGCCTGTTGTCAGTGCCTGTCTTATCTCTGTGAGGCTGTTTAGCTACAACTGAAATAGGTTATAAACTTTTGGGTTTTTTTCAGGATAGTTTTTTATTGGTTAAGGGAGCTTGAGCTGTCTGGATGAACATTGAGGCTGGTGTGCAGAAGAGGTGGGACTGCCTGACTAGCAGTGGGAGAGAATGAACTGCCGCTTTCAACAGCGCTGAGCTGTTACATGAGCTCATCTGTAAAACCTCTCCCTTAGAGATTAACTTGCTGATAGGAAAAAAAGGGAGTGAACTGGGTAAATAAAGAATTTTACTTTTCAATATAAATCAATATAAATGTTGTTGAGTTGAGTAGTAAGAGTTTGTTCTCATCTAAAAATGATGCCAAGGCCAAGATTGTCTCAGATTTTCAAATTCTCTCGACTTTAATTGGAACTGAAAACAGCCTTTCAGTAACATTGATGATACAGCCATGCTCATAAATCCTAGACTTTCCAACACTGAAATTTAAAAGAGAAATCAAAACACTGAAGCAGATGCTTGAGCTTATCATAAAGGCTGTGTCTTTCTATGATGTAATTTTGCCTCCAGATGGCAATTTAAAGAGAACTGAAGCCCTTCAGACCTGCCTATGAGTCTCTAAATCTGGGCTTTTAAATTTACCTCTGTAACCCAAAAGTGAATACTGAAAAACAAGAAGTTGCACTGTAGTATTACAGCTATTCATTCAGGGAAGCATGCAGTCTTAGTTTTTATGTCTAAAGGCAAAACAACATTTTGTTCGATTTGCGAGGGGAGCTACGAAATGCAGAGATGTGAGAAATGAGGTCTTTGCTCTCTGCTCAGACAATGAAGATAAGTGAGGGACGTAAGAAGAAGGAAAGCTTACAGGATTAAACCATCCTAAAATTCTGATATATGGGAGTTGTGCATGCCTGTAAATATTAATTGTGATTGAATAGGCATTTAAAATCTCAAGAGTACATGGTGAAAGTTAGGCATCTGCAACTGACTTCAGCTTGATACGTAAATAGTTTATGGTAGCTAATGCATTCTGCATTATCTGAAGTGCACGTATTAATTACCTGATTACGTGTATACTCTTATAAATCAAATTTATAGGTGTTTTGATTTAGCATGGAATTTGTATCCATTCTAGTTTCAGTGCAGTAATTACAGTAGCTTAATTTTAATGAAAGGAGGCAGCGTCTTTTATTCTTCATTTCAGTGATGTCAGTTGTTGAGATGGACATGTGATAGTAAACTGACTATTAATATTCTCACGCTCTTGTAGCCAAAACCTCTGGACACTATACAGAAAAACAGTGGGAAAAGTTATATAACATGCCTTTAAAGGGTTAAGGGGGGGGAGGAAAAAAAAAAAGGTAGGTTGTTGCCAAGTTGGTATGGGATGAAATCCTAGTCCATGTCAAGTTAAGTTAATTTGCTCTGTCAGTTGCTTTCAGCTATGAATTGTTGGAAGCAGGCTATCCAAGTCAGAGAAGTAGGCTACCCTAGTTCCCATGCAGTGTATTTCTTGCAGCATAAGGAAGTGCTTGGCTATAAGACTAACCGATAAGGAACTGATTACTCCGTGCTGTCACTGAAATTAATCATCTTGCACCAGTGAATTGACTACACAGGTTTTTTACAGGGCTTCAGAATTGTTATTGCTTGATCTCCAAAACAAGATGATGTGTTCACTTTAAAATAAGCTATTTTCTCTGTTCAATAGAAATACGAAATACTTTTACTTGGGTAATTTGCTAAGCTTTTAGAAATAAGAATTGATGAATTATTGTAACTTACTACAACACCACAAATTATTGAATCCTAAGCCCCGAAATGCTAGCTTTTAGTTCAGCCATATGTATGTCTAAAATCAGTGCAACATGTTTTGCTTTGTTCGCTGTTAAACATAGGCCTATGCCCTGTTAGCCTCCTACTTTTGGCATATTTTTAATCAGAAAAATTAATTTATTGAACTTCCTGAGTCTCCTATTTATAATTTATCATTGAATTTAAAAGCTAAAGAGAAAAATTGCCTTGATGCTGGAATATTTATCATACAAAGATGCTGCGTGGCTGATGTTAGGGAGTAGGATAACTCAGCATGAAAATGCTATCTCTTGCAATTAGAGTTGTGCTGTAATATGCTTTGTGAGTGAATTTATGTTAGAAACCTATGCTGTTAAAGGAGCGAAGCCATGCATTCCAGATCAAAATTTTGTTTATGACTTTTGTCTTAATGTCTGAGATGTGTTAGTTTTAGACATTTGTCTTGAGTCCACATTTGTCCGTAAGCGTTATCCAGCTCTGTTGATGCAAAACTAGAGACAGATAGCAGTGAGAAGTTGGACTGATCAGCTTTGATGAGGAAGATCAGTATGAAAAAAAGTATACAATTGTTTACATTTCTTAAGCGATTTTCAATTGCCCTGTGTATATGAGAGTTCCCACTGAAGTTAACGGGGTCCATCACTGCTTGTCTGCTGAATTCAGTACAATTAAGATTTCCTGTATGCCATTAGGTACATGGGAGTAGTCACATAAACCTGCTTTTCACATGGACTGGTGACTCTTCAGCATGAGTCATATAGTGCAGAGTAAAGAGGTGAAAGCTGTTTTGGTGTGTTCTGTCCAATTGCTTGTTCTGTGTCTCTGCCTGTGCATTCTTACTTCTTACAGTGACATCTGATTCGGCAAATGCTGTTAATAGAAGTTCTGTTTACATTTCATTGGCATTTATGAATTTATACATGTGAATTTGAAGGTGTCCTTAACTGGTTATGGATAGGCCATGTTTGTTGACTTTGGGCCAGAATTGTCAGGTGTTTTTTTTTTCTATTTAAGAATGCAACAGTGATTTTTTTATTTTTACAGGCTTTCATACCTCTTTTATTTCACATCTTCTGCTGAATAGCAACCGTTTATGTCCTATTGCCTCTTCTCGTTTCTACGTTCTTCTTTTCAGCATTTCCAAACTCAAATTCTTCATCACAAGATTTTTAATTAGAACTCTCTACTGTGATTTATCTGATGAGCAGAGTTGTTGAAAGCAGTTAGAAGCAGCCAAACAAAATGACCACATCTGCTTCTTGATATGTTGTCACAGACATTTTTCTGTCTCTTTAGTGTTTTTAGTTAAATACTTGACAAAAAATTACATGTCACAAGTCATTTAAAGGCATTACTGATTTGTGGACCAACAGTGCTGAGGAACAGCAGTTTTTGTTGTGCTTCCTGATGGCTATATTTGGCTTTAAAACTTCCTTTGTCTCTTTGGACTGAGAACAGAGGAGCTGGCAAGCTGCTCTGTGCTGGAGTGAATGGTGTTCTGCTGGCTCTGTCTCCCTGTGGCCTCGCTGGTGCTGCTGGTGGCCCTGTTTCATTTAGATTCTCACCTTTCAATAGTAGTTCCAGAGTAATTGTTTGGTCTCGGCTGCAAAAATGTCTTCCTTCAGGGTTCAGCGAAGCATGTCTACCCTCTCACATTACAACCGTACTGAAGGCAGACCAAAGGCATGTCTAGCCCGTCCTTCCACTTCACACAAACTTTACATTTCTCTTAGAAAAGAGAAGCAAAGCTCCTGTAATGAATTGACAGTTCTGAAATACAGGCTTCTTAAAGAATTAGAACCTGACTTCAGTTCTCTTGATACGGCAGTTGGGGGGCGGTGTGTGTATACACACACATCAAAATATAGCTGTACTGTACTTGTGTACGTATACATACCTGTGTGTATCTCTTTCTTAAAGATATGGACGTTGGTAGTCGGTTACCTGCTGATGGTTTCATTCAAGTGGAATATAAGCACTGAACGTTACTTAAAAGCAATCTCTGTCCCTGTCTGGATTATGCTGCTTTTTCACTTAGGTGAGTAACAAGAAGTTGTTATTCTAATGCGTCCACTGGGATTCTGTTTTCTTGCAAACAAAGCTACTCACTTGCTCTTCAGCTAAATCTTTATAATGGAGTCTTAGCTGAGATGGAGGCTGTTTTCTCTTTTCAGTAATTCTGGCTGCATGTGGCCAGCAGGGAGCGTTGGAGCTTGGAATGGGAAGGCTGAGCAGTGTGTATCTTCCACTTCTCCTGCCCAGTTTGTACTTCCCATGGTTTTCCCTTATTTGACTCTTGCAGTTGCAGGCCTGGTACTGATTCCCTGACAGTGGGAAAGGGCTGAGGTTGCATGTGGCTGGATTTAGACTTTCAATTGTGATAATATTTAATACTATTATTATTTTCTTGAGAGCCTGCAGTTGGTCAAGGCTGAAGCTGTAAAATGCATTTAGTAGTAGTAATAGAAGCAGAAAAATAGATTCTTTCAGTAGTCAACAAACATGTTGATATGATATCAACAATATCAAATAAATTTGGTGGTAATCTATATAATCTGTTAATACTAATAGATTACTATACTTTTATGTTTGTATTACATTTATTTTACATATTTAATGTAACAGATTATTGGATTAGATTATCAGAGTTTATGATGGAGGTATCATGCAGATAACAGAAGGCTATCATGATGGAAGGATTCACAGCGTACTTCATGATTTACTTTGCTTTAGCAGCAGGTTTCAAGGGTTGTTTTGACCATGTGGAGACACTTTCATGAGATTTTAAGCTACATATAATAACTTTGCATTTGCTTACATTTTGACAGTCTTTTCTTTTCTGGAAGTACTAGCTGAAAAACCAAAGCCCAAGAAGGTGCTACTTCATGCCAGCCTATGGAGATCTAACATAAATACCGATTATTTTTTTTGGGGGGGAGAGGGGGGCAACTTGATTTGCATCTGTTACCTAAAATGTTTTTATTTTGTGTGTATTTTCATGTAATTATGAGTGTTGTTCTTAAAATTGTTCTCAAAAGTATATCAGCATAAAGTCACTGAAGTTAGGAACAGTAATAACTTGGTTTATTCATTGAGAAACTTGTTCACCTGTTTTTTCTATTCTTCCTTTCTGTGAATGTAGATAACTTGTTTGCTTTATGACACTTCTTAGTTTCTGCCCAGGTTGTTCTTGGTTGTTGTGGTGCCTTTCTTGGTTTTGCTAAATGTAGACTTTATTAATGGCATGATTTTTCGTGTTTAAAAAAACCCAAACAACAAAAACCAACCCTGTATCTTTCAGCTTCTGTGGCAGGTTCCTGGAGAATTCCTGTGTTTCTGGTTATAGTTGTTCTGATGACTGTAGGCATGTTGCACGAACAGCAGAATGGAAAGGAGTCTCCTGGTAAGGAACGAGTCACTATTTCTTCTATTATTGGAGGCAAAAGTTCTGTAAAGTCAAGTGAAAGCATCTGGACCATATATCATACAGATTGCAAGAAGTTACTGTAAGATTTTTTTGTAGTATGTTTGTTTCAAAGTGGTTTACACATGCTTATGCTTTCTTATATTGTCATTCATTTTTAAAATACCAGTTTCTTAAAAGTATTGTTTATGCCTTGGAAAAAAAATGGGGTTTGCCTGGTGTGAGTCAATTTTGCATAAAAGCAAATGTTAGGTGTTCCTTTGTAGTGCTAGCTGTATGGTTATTTTGGGAAACTTTTTTCCTGTCTTACTGTTTTAGTTTTTTTTGAAAGTCATCATAATCTTGGTTAGTAAAATTGATTATCTTTTATAGTGACTTTTTAGATTAATTGGACTGCCAGCAACTGCGAATGACTTGGTTGGTAGCAGTTCATTAGCAAGGAAAGTGCTAGGCAAATAACTGGTGTATTTTAATATTAAAATTGGTAGCACTCATTCCTGTTTGATCGTATTGACTACATATAATACTTATTACATGGATAGACACTGTTAGTTTTTAATTTCTGTTGCTTAACAGCCTTGGTGGTTATCAAGCAACGAATAAAACATGTTAAGACTTAAGCTTTTCCTTGTTTACGTACACATCTATATTTTACAGGGGCAGAGCTTCCTGGTCAGATGATTTCCATTGCTGCTTCAACAATTGCCATGGCAATTTCAATGACAGAAGATGAGTCCAATAATGAACGTTCCTCGCAACCCTCAGGTGACTGAATACTCTGTAAGAAAATATTTGAATTTGCTTTAAGGGCATGAAATTGGAGGGAATTAAGGACAAATTTCAAAATAGTCTCTATCCTTTTCATCCTGTACATCATAGCACATTTATACTTACCTTGTGAAACAGGTTTATCTGTTTTTAAAGATGTTAAGAGGACAATAATATAAAATGTGTCTTTCAAATGATAGTTTAAATGGCTGTCTTTACATTTAGAAGGCCTGACTAGAAGAATTTTTTTTGTTTTTTTCAGTGAGGGTGTGGGTTTTCCCCTATTCTTTCTTACTTTTTTTTTTTTTTCTGTAGCCTTCTTTTGATTTGTTGGCAGTTACGAGATATATACACTGGGTTTCTGGACCAGGTACAGACAAACTGGAATAACTTTCGTGTACATCACAGTGACAAAAAAAAACCTTGGCTCTGTTTAACTATGCTATGCTTAAAGTTTTTCCTGCAGGGAGTTTACTTAACATTGTAGCTTGAGTCATGATACATTCACTTGCATTAACATAGACAGAAATCTGTAAGAAATGGCTTAAAAGAGTTGCAAAGAAGGTGTTTAGATGTCCATCGCTGCTCTTGAACCTTACCATCATTATTCTGGGTAGGCCTTTGATGGAATGCGATACTAGAAAAATAAGCTATTATGGGGATTTCTGGAAATTGAAAGGCTTCATCCATTTCCCGCAAGTAGACAAAACATGTCATTCCACTTGACAGAATGTGAGCTTCTGAAACTTCAGTCTGAAATTGTCTGTGTCTAAGAGACATCTACTTTAAGGCAGTATGTTCTAAATATTGTCAGCAATGTGTAAATCATGCTCCAGAGGAGGAAACACAGTGGTTGTGCAGAAGAGAATGCTTTGAGCATGTGTTATTGAGCTGTGTATTTCTGACTAAAGGCTACCATTTGTGAAACTAAAAAGTTGCGTCAGCCACCAGGTGAAATGGTGTAGAACAAGATCTTCAGAAATCTTTTGATGAAATGTAAACACCCTTCCTAATTTTAAATATGTCAATGTAAGCTGTACTTGAAAATATGCATAATTTTTAAATATAAAAAGGGCAGCTTTAGACAACTTATTCTTTTCTTATCTTTGTTTCTACATTTTACATGACTCGTCAAAATAAATGTAAAACCCTATTGGCATATGTCCTAAAATTTGAGAACTGAGCATCAAGGTGACAGTTTTCTTATATTGCTATCTCTAATCTTTAATTTTGGAAATGAGAATATTTTCTTTAGCTGAATTTTGAACATCTTGTCAAGCAACAGTCTCCCACAAATATGCTGCATAAATGGTTGTGTTCTTGTTTGTTGCTTGTGGTTTGGTGTTTTGTTTTGTTTTTTAAACTTACTAGTTTTAGGTTTCTTTCTCTCCTTTAAGACACTTTCTTTTCTGTCTTCAAGTTGTGACCTGTCTTTGGTCAAAAGAAAACTACAGCAGTTCTACAAAAGTGTCTTTTATAGTGAATGTTTTTTTGACTTATTTTCTTGAGACAGTTAACCAGATGGGGTTTTTTGTCTTGCACATTCTGTTGTTTTCCTTCACAGCAAGAAAAGAACAAATACGGAGTTTTCTATGTACTCCTAACAATAGTTCAAATATTTATCCAACAATCTGTTGGGAATTAGCATTCTATTCTGTGATATATTTTAAGCGTCCTTTTGGTCATCTCTCGTTTGGATTTTCTATGTGAATCGTGAGGAAACATTATTCTTGTACAGCAAAAGGTTTTACTGGCAGGGTAAAGAAACTGCAACTCTTCCGGTTGTCTTCTGTGGTGATTTTTGGATGTTTTGTTAGCTTGCTTTGGAACTTGTAACACGTCTGTAATGAGAAGTTTAGGATTTTGAAAGTTTTCGTGTCTGCAGCCAGGTGGAGACTTCAGGAAGAGATCTTGCTTATATTTCTTCTAAGTATGTCAGTGGTTGTCAAAGTTGATTAATTGTCAGCAGCAATAACAATGCTTATACTGTATTAAATGAATTATGGTACAATTAATGCTTCTTTTTTTTACTTTTCTCCTTATGTTTAAATTTGTTCATGAGAAAAACAGGAGGGGAAATAAGAAGGAATATTCTTTTTTCGTTGATAAAAAGGACTTTACTAAGGGCTTTTGGGGGAAAAAGTGTTGGACAACTTTAGTCTTGAGGCATAGACTTCAGCATATTAAATTCCTTTGTCTTTTCTATTTTGGCTTTTAGCACTTCCTTCCCTTTGATAAATAATTGAATTTCTGCTTGTTGTCATGTTACTTCTTCTGTTTATTATGTTGATTTTGGAGCAGTAAAAAGAAAATCATTGAGTTGAATTGATACGGAAGAATTCTCAATTATGGATATACTTCTTTCAAATTTGAGTTCCCTTAGTGCATCATAAGCCGGATCCATTTGTTTCTATTAGTGTTCTGCTTCATTAAAAATAGGCTGGGAAGTACAGGGGAATGATAGACCCTCTACTTCTTGTGGCAAAAACACTTTGTCTTTTTAGGAAATCTTCTGTTTACAGGTAACTTTCTCTCCCCTTATGAAAAATTAACTCATGTCTTTTTCTCCAAAGTGTCGTTTGTATACGATAGGGCTGGCCTTTGAGATGTGAACTGGTTTGCCAAGAAGCACTCCACCTGAAGCTTCCGCTGTGTTTAGCTGCTTGCAGAATTCCTTCTTTCAGGTTGCATGCTGTAATTCCTTCAGGAATGTTCTGAAATTCCACTGAATATGTTACCAGCAAGCAGCTGATGTTTGTGTCATCATCCCAGTGTCTATCATTTGGGAGAATCAATAGATCTACCTTATTGTATTAGTGTAGTGGGGAGGTGTTTATAAGCTCTAAAAATAGTTCCCCTTACTTGTAGAACACCACTGCAGATTTCTACAACAAAAGAAGAGTGTTTATCCAGTGTGTGAGGCTGCAGAATTTGTCTCTTACCACTACTGTACACGTATGACAAATTTGTCTTGTCTTTTTGTACATTCTAGCTGTCATGCGTTAGGCTAGGAATGCCTTTAATAACAAACACACTGCAGCTAAAACCGCATGTGTGGAGCATGAGTTGTTTGACTGATAGGCATGTAGTGTATTGTAATATAGTTTTTACAGCAGTTTTTCTTCATGGGAGGGAAGTGGTTAGTGTCGATATGACACAAGTCCAGTGAAAGACTTGTGTTCATTGTTTACCTGCTGCCGTATGTACCAACATAACAAAATGCCTTTTATTCTTCACCATAGAGTAACTTTTCAGGTTTTCTTGTGTGTGCTTTCTTCTACCATGGCTGCAAATTTTTCTCAAGTAATGATATGTTGGAAGTGTGTGCATTTCACCACCAGCATGAGGCCCCAGTAAAAGTTAATATAGGTGTTCTCAGGGAGAGATTCTTCATACTACAGCAACTGAAGATGGATTTGGTGTCACCCATACTAGTCTAATGCGAGGCAGATGTACCGGTGAAAAAGTTAAATAAATAAATACATTACTGTGTTCTCTATACAAGAATTTTAATTGGGCCATAATATTTTTTCCCTGAAATGACTATTTACTGTTTGTTAGTAAGTGCCTTTAACACATCAGTTCACATTTTTTAATTGAATTTCATGTTTACTAACTTAACTGAGAGAATGACAACATTTGTTACCCACTAATTTATGCTTGCTGTTGTTACTAAAATATGTTACACATGCAAGTAATTTAGGATCAGAGTGTGAGCACTATGTTTGTAATGTGAGTGTTCAGCAAAAGAAAAAGCGTAGTAAGAAATTTGTAAGATACAGCATATGCTGAAGAGAAAGCTTGTAGGTTTTTTTGCTTAAATGAGCTTTGAGCAAATCTAAGATTTTTTTTTTTTTTGACTACTTGAAGTAAAGAGAAATCAAAGATTTCTTTTAGGAATTTAGATTTCTTTTAAAAGGGAATTTGCACTTTGTGTTTTTCAGGGTTTTATGGTTATTTTTTATAAAATATATTTGGCTTGTAATTTACCGCAGTGACAGGAGGCCCCTTAGAGGCTGTAGCATCTTTTCTTCTCTCCTTTTCCCAGTAGTGCTTGGCACAGCGTTGCATGATGTGGGAGAGCTTACACAGCCTTTTTCTAGCTTTTTTGAAATTCAGATCAGTGCCAAGCCTGTCTCTATCTTTCATAGAAATTACCAAAAAAAATCCAAACCCAAACAAAAAACAATCAACCAACCGAAAAAAGGTTAATTTGGGACTAGGGAGCATGTTCTGTTCTGTGTTGAACATTAATGTGATAATTCCACTTCTTTGTTTACATTTGTTTGTTTTAGGAGCAACAGAAGGTGATCAGCCTCCACATGCTTCATCATCTTTCTCCTCCTCTTCATCTTCTTCTGGGAGCAGACAAAGACCTGAGATTGGATCTTTTCTTAGAAAAAAGAAAACTAGTGATATCTACTTTGTTACACTTGTGTGGGCCATCGTCATTGTCCAGATCTGGCTAAATTTCTGGATTGTGCAGCTATTGCCAGTGCCTTTTGCAGGTAATAATCCAATTAATAGAGACGTATATTAAATGATGACTTTGGATAGTCTTAGGCTTTGTGTTAAATAAAACAGAAGGAAAGGCTTGTGTAAGTTTCAAATTAAAACTTTTTCAAGATTTTTTTGTTAAGAATAATCATAAGATCATAATCATGTTATTGGACATTATTATGTTCTTGATTAATTTTAGCTTCAAATAGCAAGACTGATGTGTACTGTCTGTTATCATGTAGTGGACAACTCTGTAAAATTGCTTTGTCTGTCTGACTATTGTTACCTGGAATAATTTAGTGCCATTGTAAGAATATTTTTGGTTTGGAGTAATTGTTTCTCTTCCTCTTGATGTCTTTCATATTTTTGCACCTATAGATAAAGAATACTTTAGCTGTTATACTCCTGGTAACTTTTAATTTCCATTAAAAATGGGTTGCTAGGCTCTGTGGACAAGTTGCAAGATAAATTTGATTCTAATTCTAGCTCTGGGGTTAATTAGCTTTGTTACTTCACATCTATGTGCATCTGTTCTCTTATATATCAAGCCAGAATGAAGTAGTTATGATAGCTATCTAAAGAGGTTATTTTAAAACTGGATGTCACTTTTCCTAATGCTCTTTTGGGGGCGAATAGGGAAGATGGGAACTCTGGAAATATGTGTGAGCTAGTGTGAATCTGAAGGCATTTCCTCCCATCCCTCTGCTCTAAACAAAGTGAGTTTCCTAATTTGCTTGGATTTTCTCTAAACTTCAGTTAAAATGATGATTTGCAGCATTTTTTAATGCATCTAACACTTAAATGTACCTGTTTTCCCTTTTACCAAGTGAGGTGGGTTGGCCCCAGCTGGCAGCCAGGTACCCACAGAGCCACTCACTATTTTTCTGTTTTCCAGTGTGGGCTCATCCATGAGCTGCCGTCCCGTTGGGGAAGTACCAGCTCAGGTATCTCCTCATCCCTAGGCCCCAGTGCCTTCAAGAGGTGTACCTGCTCTAGCACAGGTCCTCCATAGGCCGCGGTCCCGCTGAGTGGTGTGCCTACTCCACCGTGGAGCACTTCTACTCCCCTGACCTTTTTATTCCCTCTCTTCATCCCTTTGTTCCACCTTCTTCTCTGTTCACTTGTTCTCTCTGTGTTCCTTCCTTTTCTCCCTCGGTAGTGGTCTCTGCCCTTTCTTAAATATATTTTCACAGAGGCACCACACCTGTGCCTGGTGGGCTCAGCACCCATCTGTGGTGGGTCTGTTGTGGAGCCAGCTGGAACTGACTGTGTCTGGCACAGGGCAGCCCCTGGTCTCTCGCCATGGAGGCCACCCTGCTACCGAAACCTTGTGTTTTACAACCAATACACAAAGCCATTATAAACTGTCTGGTTGTGGAAGTCTGAAAATCATGACCGTGGGACCGTGCTTACAGGTTTGAGGAGCTCTGAACTCCGAGAGGCATGGTGAAAGCAACAGCTGCACATTTGGCTGTGGCGCTGTAGTAGCAGCTAAAGGGTAATGTGATGATGAGGCATATAAATTGCTGAATACAGACTAAGAGGAGAGAGCGGTTTGATCTTTGTTTCATTCCAATGTGGTTGCTACAGAGGAAACTGCCCTGTTTTGGTGTCTGGGCATCATGGGAAATGGCGATGGCAGGTTGGATGTAGCTCATAAAGACATCATAACAATGAAAAAGGGATTCGGAAGTCAGTTTTAGACTAACTAGAAGCAGAGCTTATGTGGCTTAATTTATTGAAAAGAAAAGTGAAGGAGTGACTTAACCACTGTTTAGAAATACCTACTTGAGTGGGAGGAAAAATGGGTGCAATAGTTCCGCAGTTAGGTAGACGGCAATGACTGGTTTTAAGCTTGAGCTAGGCAAATCTAGATTAAACTGCACATCTGTAACTGAATTGAGTGAATACTGCTGCTGACAGTCATTAGTTCTAAATTGGCTATCTGAACAATAAACTCATGCCAAAATAGAAATTTTGAGACTATTTGTGACCTATTGCCTTAGCAGTGACACCGGGTCATTAAGTGCTTTTTCTTGGCATGTAAGTAAATAGAACTAGATCATCACAAAAATATTATGAAAAGGCAGCATAATGATGAGCAGAGACACATTTAGAACAGTGGATCACATAAGTTTCAGAACGTGAATGCTGATAACCTGCATTGTTGAAAGAGAGGTGGTATTAAAAATATTTAGTAGTGGGAAATAGGAAAACTGCTAGAGCAAGTTTCCTTGAAACAGAAACCTGAGACCTTAAGAAGAATGCTTCTAGTATGTATAAAAATCAACCAACCAACCCAAAAAAACCAACCCCAAACCCTCACCCCTAAAACCTTAAATAAAAAGGTGTTCATTTCACCAGAGTTCCTTATATTGGTAGACAGGAGTTCCATGAAGTAGCATGTAGATTATTAGAAGTATATTGTGGTGCCATTAACGTTTTTTCTTGAATGCATTTGGTGTTCAGTAGATTGAGATGCTCTTTTAAAATTGCTTAATGTAGAGGGTGGAAAAATTATACTGTAATTATACCATAAAATGAAAAGATGAAAAAAAAGACTTTTGAATTCAAAAGATTATTGTCTCTTTTTAAGATTTTTCATTTACTTCCTTGCTTGCTCTATTGCATCCATTTTTTTTGAGTTCTGTTTTTTGTCTTCAGGTCATTTTCTATTTTCTGGAGATGTTTAGAATTTCTTACTATGCAGCCTTTCTCTTCTTTTTTTTTTAACATCTTTCTAATAACAGCACTCCTTTAGCTTTTACTGTCTTGCCTCTTTAACTTAATGTAATTACAGCTGTGTGATTGATTGTAGCACCTCTTGGCATCACCTTTGCAATGAGTATGCCCTCAGTTATTTTAGAAGATATTATTGAAGCACTTATTTAAAAATAATAGCAGAAGGTTAAAGTGCTATTTCAGTTATGTTGTTCACCTTGTAAAATGTAAGCTTGCCCTGTTTTGCTGAGCAGCAGTTTATGTATTTATCATGAATTGCATTTCATCATACAAAACTTCAACCTGCAAGCAGGCGCTTGCACTGTATTTTCTCCTTTTTGTATGTTTGCCACATGATCTTTAGGAGAAAGATTATTAGATTATTGTTTCTTTAAGAGAATAAATCCCATGTTTGCCACATGGTGGTGCCAGAGGGTAAGTAAACCAAAAGTCAGCAACTTGTTGCATGACCTCTCCATGAACAAGAGTGTAAATTATTACACAAGTGGTATACAGATAATAGGCTCTTGTGGAACTTTGATAAATGCCCTGTGGATATTAAAAGTTAACTTTTTTGCTTATGTATGTCGTTTTACACATCTCCAAGTAGAAGCATGATGTGAATTTTTGAGGGCAAGGGAGTTACTGTGGTGTTGATGTATGCAGTAAGTAATGAATCTAGTTAGGACAACAGTTTTTCATAATAAAAACAATTTTTATTAAAAGTACACTTGATTGTAATGATGGGGAATTCAGTATCAAATGTTGCTGTAAACACAATACAATTGGAGGAGTGCTGCTAGCGTTTTCACAGAAAGTTATTTTCCTGTGTAAGTAGAATTTTTAATGTCAACTCATTTTTGATCTACATGTGACATTCACTGTTACTAAATTCTGGTTTAAAAAAAATCAGGGAGAAATTAGGAGAATTGTTTGATTCTGTTTCACTTTGTTTTCCTTTAGAACCATAGTTTTCAGTATTTAGGGGTGCAGTATAGATTTGTTCAGAGGTTTGTCCATCAGTAGTTCCTGGCAGGAACTCCTGGGTTGTGAGACCTTCTGGTCTGTTGATATGTCATGTAGTGATGTTTTTGTGACTGATGTGTTTGCATCTATACTCCAGTGAAATCAGTTGTAGTAAAAATCTTTGTTTATAATGTGAATCAATTAACTAGCTTTGGAAGATTACTTGCTTTTCTTCTTTTTGGGGATGAGAAGATAGGTAATTTTAGTGGTCTAACCTTTTGTTGAATAAAAAAAGAATACAGCAAATATTTCATGACTATTAAAGGTCTGTTAGCTTCAAATGAAAGTTTCATATGTATCGCGCTTTTTTGCTTTTACATTCCTGATTGTGATGATTCACAAGTTTTACAAGTATACTCAGTAGGTGAGGGAGAGAAGTGCCATCACAGAATTGTGACCATAAGCCTTATGCAGAAGGCTCTGGGCTTTATTTCATGGCAAGTAAATGGACATGTGCTTGTATTTCTGTAACTGTAATGCTAGACATTTCTAGTGGTTTTAAGCTCTTATTTTACAGTAGGTATATGTTAGGAGCGTTGGAGAAAAGCTGTTTGTGGTAGCAAAGTGCTTCTTTTTGGGGGGGAAAAAAGTTGTAAATATTTCTCTGTTGTCTGGTTTTGAGGAGCAGTATAGATTTTTCTGGAGCTATGTGTGGTCATCTTCAAACTGAGATAAAAAGCTGATCTCAAAAGAATTTTTTTGATGCTTAAAAGCAAAATTAATCAGTAGTTGTTTTTCAGTTGAAGGATTAAATGAACACTTCTCTACTGTAAAATTACGCATGGTCTGCTGTCAGTTCTTGAAAGATACAGCTTTAATGGTATAGAAGACCTAAAACCTAAGAATTGAGGCTGAAAATTTGCTTTTATGTGTAGCATACTGTTAAGTTCTGAATCTGGTATTCTACGTGTAGTTGTCAGGCGTGGTGTATTTCTGAAGATGTGATAAATCCACTGTACTGGAATCATGGAATGGTACATGCTTATCCCTGGCTTTGCTCAAGTCTGTTAGCCAAGTAATCGAGCAGTGCGCAGGCACCTTTCTTCTGCTGCCATCTAAATTCCATGTGGATAAGTGTGGCTGTAAAGCAAATGAGGACATTGGTTCTAAAACCACTTGAAATTTCTGAAAGTGGTTTCTAATGGGAGATAGAACTCAAGAATATTTTTATTTCTTTTTCATAGGTCTTTCAGAATGGAATAGATGCATAGTCTTGTGGTGCTTCTCTGAAATCTCTAATACTTGATTTCCTTCTTGTGGTTACAGTTTGGGCACTTAAAAAACTCGTGGTTCATTTTGGAGTTTTGAACTTCATGGCAAACCATTGCAGAAGTTGGTGGCAACTTGTTGAAAATTTTGTGAAGGAACGTCAGGAAGCTCTTGCTCCACGGCCCATCAGAGGGCTCGGAAGAGTCATGCTAAAGCTTGACAGTAAGGTATTTCTACTTACTTCCTTAAGCAACCTGAAAGTTTGTTTTATTCTCTGTTCACTGTATGCTGAGACGCTTTAATTCTAAAATAAATGTTTGTCACTAATGGACACATCTCTCATGTAAAACTATTTCTGTTTTATGGTGTATTTTAAACCATGTCTCTTCTGTCACTATTCACACAGAAGTACACATTTAAACTTCGTTAAATGATTACACGCAAAGCTTGACAGAAGTCACTTTTTAAATGTTGAGTTAGCTTTAGAAGATTCCTTGTCTCTGTAAGGCAAACTACTCATGGTTAAGTCACCTGACCTAATTACAAAGATTTTGAAGTTAAGCTTAATGAGCTTTAATCTGAAGGATGAGATGTTCTTACTTCTGTTGTGAAAACTTAAAAAGCAATGTGTTTTATTCTATAAGTAGGGCCTGAGCTAGTTTGAACACATTTGTTTGTACTGTGTGGAAGTATAGTTGTTTAACACAGTGGTGTGGTGGTACGGAAAGGAGGCTTCCCGCTGTAAGAGAAGGATTATGTGGGCTATTTGGGAAGTGCCATAGCATAAGGGTTCTGTGCTCCCCTCCCTTCTCTCGCCCACAAAATGTGCCCACATTTGCATTGCAAATTGTAGAGCTCCATAAAATTTACGAAGGCTCCTCCATTCGGAATTGTAAGTTTTGACTTAACCTCGTAGATTACTTTGTTTGTAATAGCTATGCCAGTGTGTAAGAATGTGCTTTCTGTAACTGTGGTGTTGAAGTACTCTCTGCTTCAGAAAAAGCCATTACCCTAGAGTTTCTATAACTGAAGAGCTGGACCCTGTAAGTACCTTTGTCAAAGTATCTGTACCTTGGCAGATCCATCTGCAGTTTATAGCTTTGAAGTCCTCCAGGAAAAGGAAGAGCTTAAGCCCAGATCTAATGGGTAAACGGATGTCAAAAGGTCAACTTATTTCCTACAGCATTAAACTGGCTGTAGGAAATAAGTAACAGTCCCCACAAAGTTCACCGAGGAAGAATTTGAAATGGGAAAAGCCTTTCAGAATACAGCTATGAACAAGCTAAAGGGAATTTCCAAAGGTAGTGGAGAATATTAACATGTTGGGATAAAAGCTTACATTATACAGAGCTTTTCATTAAAAGCTTTTGTTTTGTAAGTAAGAAGACTCTCTAGACATAATATTGTATGTATTGTATTTCATGGGTTATCAATTTAGTATCCTTGTATTGAATAACTATATGATATAGTATCCTTCCTAATTCCACTAAGTCTTTTCTTCTTAAAGAAGGTAGGGCTTTTGTCGTAACGTGCAGCAGAACTTCCCACTCTTCAGTGTAAATGTATTTAAGGTCAGTTTATATTCATGTTGTTCTTGTCCAAGTAAAAGACCAGTGTTGGTACAACTCATTTCTCCATCTCCCCTCTCCCCCCATTTTTTGATGACAGTCATATTTCTTCTTAGTCTATGCTGCAATTGAAGCTCTTCTAGCCCTTGTAAGAGAGACACTTGACACTGCATGATTCTGTTGTCCTTGTTTGTGCCTATTCTAATAACAGTTCACTTGGCTTTATCACGGGTGGCTGGAATTATATGTGGTCTTCCAATGCTTATCACACTAATGCTTTCATATCTTTTAAGTTCCACTGGATACGCTTACTCTGTGCATTGTAGGGTCATGGATGTGTCTTACCTCTTGAGAATTTGGGAAGCAATGCCATAGGATATTGGCAATTGTGATTTTTGCGGGGATAGGGAAAGGAGAGGAATGAAAATGGCACCCTTGCAAGTTTTTTATAGAAAGGATGGATGAGCTGTATTTAAGTTGCATTACCAAACATTTTGGCTTCAGTAGGCACTGTTGAAGAGGAAGTGAAAACATACAAACACAAAATAGAAATTCATGGAGTAAATTGTTACAGCTTACCTTTTATGTGTGGGTGAGAGAAAACAAGATTGAAGGATTGTTTCCTTTGCAATTAGATGTTTAATTTTTTTAATACTTTAGTTGTACTTTCTTTTCCTGGGAGCTGAAGCTGCTAAGTGATTTATTTTTTTGGTTGTTTGTTTTTGGTTTTTGTATACTGAGTTAATTGGAGGCTGAATCTCAGCATCAGGATGTACTCAGCTCGTAGCCAAGTACAACAAGCCATTGACAAGGTCTGTTGCACACAAATATCTGGTTGTACTACTTAGTCTTTCTCAAGTGATATGCCTGATTTGGAAATAGTTCCAGTTTTGAGTAAAAGGTAGTGAGGATGAGGAAGATGCCTTAGAGTGGCATGTCTCTTTTTCCCAAACGAAGTTTAGGAGGCTCATGTAGATGGTCTGGAAAATAAACAATTATGAGAAATTATGGGAGAGTACTGCTCATGCATGCACGTCTTTGAGCTTTACTGATTATGTCTGTTTCTTAAATACATTTAGTAAGAGAAGAACTGCTTTTCTTTCTCACGGCTCATCAACATCTGGTTATCTTAGAAATGCAGACAAATTTGAACTGAAGAGAAGTTCTTGTCAAGAGGAAAGAAAGTAGGGCATTGCTTTTCATTTTCTTTATAAACAGTAGGTCAAGCTGTACCTGTACATGCAGGCCTGCTTTAAATATGGGTTATGGAAATAGGGTGCCCTTGCTGCATTCTTTAGTTCCTGGTTGTGCATTTGCCCAGTGAAGCCAAGCGATGTAGCAGTTCAGATATGAGAGACTTCCTGGAGGAAAGAGTAGGGAGGTTTCTGTTGTCATCCATCAAGTCATCTTAATAGATATGGTATCATGCATGTTCTTACCAACAATCAAGACCTAGTAATTTGCTGCAGTGCTTTTTTTTTTTTTTCTTTATTAAAACTGTTGTCTTTTAATATGGTGACTGTAGTTTTATTTTGATTAGAGTTTGCGAGGGCATTCAGCAGCATAGGCAGTTGCTCAATTGCATGCACTGAACTTCTATTAATTGGAATGTGCTAGTATTTTGCATGCATGCTTTCTGGTAGAATTCAGTGAATCATGTAGTTATTATATGCTTTTTCTAGGTACACTGTACTAGAATTTTATAGATGGAGGAATGTAATAGATTGGGCTTTGGGTAAAGTCAAGGTTTGTTTCTTCTGGTAGCAAGGTTAGCGTGTAGTTAAAGCAAGCACAAAAAAAACAGGCAGAATCTCTACCGGTGCATATATTATTCTAGGAAATACTTCCACAGACATGTAAAATCATATATGAATAGTTTTCCAATAGAATACTGGAAAAGCCTTATTAATTTTGAGTGACTTGAAGATTAGAATTAAGCTGTAGCCTATTTTTAAATGTTGATTGATTACAGTTGTAGAACTACTTAAACATCAGTATTGGTAAGATCGTAGTCAGGGAGAGTCTCCCAGATATTGTCTTAAACATTAATAAAATTATTGTTATTTTTGACATATGATGTTATTTCCTCATTACTGCTAGTTTTCATGCTATTCCAAGAGACTGAAATGATAGAAAAACACCAAAGACTTCCTTTCACGTTCAAGCTAAAAATAGAGCTATAGCTTTTGTTGTATTAGAGTTGCAATGTGGAGAAACGCAACCATGAGATCTACATTTTTTCCAAAATGAACCTAATGTATAGTGGGGTTTAATATGCAGAAGTAAAGTTAAAGGCAAAAGTATGTTGTTGAATCAGTAAACAACTTTATCTTTTTCCACTGATAACTTATTCCATAGGTGTAGAGGTAAAATAGAAACAAATTCTACGCTGTCAGTTTGAGGCTTTTGAAGCTTTGTCATTGCTTTCCATTACTGTGATTCTTTCCACAACTAATAGAAGCTAGTAAAACTGAATGCTTTGTGCCATGCTTTATTTTCATGTTTCCCGATCTTCATGTTTCTTTGTAAATCTGCTTCGTGCTTCTAATATAACTTAATTAACATTCTGAGTTATTTGTAATTGAAGATGTTCTTGTATTTTGTTTTCATTGGCAGATAAGATAATTTCTGGCAACTGTTGAAAACACTACATTTATTGAGCATTCAATGATCATATTTTCAGGGAGAAAAAAAGCTTCTCTTACTTGATCTTAATCTCTAACAGAGATGAATAATAACATTAAAGCTTCTCACTGTTGTGATTATACTGCTGATTACTAATGGCTAGAATTAGGGGTATAGTCCTACATAAACTAGGCCCTAAAACGGGTATAGGTGTACTTGAGCGGCATGGGTGAGAATTAGTAAGGAAAAATGACTGTAGTACAAAAGGAGAAATTGACTGTTGAGAAGTACAAAGAGCCTTCTGCACAACCAATAAAATTGTATGAAATCCATATATTTATTTGATCTACAATTTGCTGCTGTGTGTATATCAGATTTAATTATGTCTTTGATGTTGTGCCATTGAATGTGACTGTTGTAATATGAATGTGGTACTGAAAAAACATAAAATGTGTTTAACAGTAGTTGACATAATAGGTGTGTTTTGATATACATAGGAAACTGCCTGAATGGGACTATTAATGCAATAAACAAATATCTCATTATAAGTTTTGGTGTTTCAGTAAAGTGCCCTTCTCGGAGTACTCTTACAAGTCCTGCTCTGAAATCTGAAATGTTAGCTCTCAGTATAATTAAACTGGAATTGTCCAGATTATGCTGATAGCTCTGTTAATATCATTAAAGTTGTTCCTATTTGTTATATCCCTCTTTGTTTCAAAAAGTGCATGTTAATAGTTAAATCTAGATTCTTGCATTAGAAGTTGTTATGATCTTTTCTTCCTATTGCAATTTACCTTTGTGTCTGGAACAATTTCATTTGCATTCTGTGGATGACTTTGCCTGCCCCTCATTGCTTTTTTTCCCCTATTATTGCATTTTTCAATAATTTTCCACTGTGTTCTTGTCTCTTTTTCCCTTTTCTTCCATCTCCCCCTGCCACTGACAAGCTGTGGCACTGGCTTAATAAGAAGGTAAATAAACAGAAAAATTGTGATTCCAACTAATGGATTCTGTGGTTTTGGGGAGTTTCTTCTTTTGCAGCATGAACACTCCTTAACATGCCTTGCTTCTTAGTTTTCTCTCACACATGTCTCTTTTCCAGCTCTTGGTATAAGCTACTGAAGGTCATATAATTCTACTTGATCTCTTGTCTTCTACTAAAATGAATGCACATAGTTAAATGTTCTGTAGCAGAATATTGCATTAGCCTTTCCAGCAGTAGTTGGATATAGTGCCACTTTTATTTTAGAACAGTTGATCTCTACCTGGTCCCTGCTTCTGTGCATAACAAAACCAGTTCTCTCCTGGACTGGAGAGCTGTTCTCTGCTCAGAGAAAGCATCGGTTAACTGAATTAACATGGGAGTGGTGAAGCACAGTTGTAAAGCTACTAATGTAAGTGCTTGAAAATAGTGCACTGACTGGCTTCAGTCAGTGCTGTTAACCATTTACTTTCCAGGCGTCAAACTGGCATGTATAGTCAGTGGTATTCAGTGTAGCAGATGTGAAATGAGAATACTTGTGATCTCAGAACTGCTGAATCTAACAGCAGCCTTAAGGGAAGTGAGTGCTAGTTATATTTAATTTTTTTTTTTTTTTTTTTAATTAAAGCAGTTGGTATAGCTGAAATAATTTTTCTTTTGCGTGGCTTTTAAGTGTGTGATGTGTTTTATAAGAAATGTACTCCTCAGTTCCCATCGTTCATCTTAGTCCACTAGGGTTAACTATTGGTCTCTGGGGAACTGTCATCCCAACAGAAGTTAAAATTGATTCAGTCCACGTTTGGCCTCATGCGTGACTGAAATCTGGACAACTCCTCAATGCAGTGATAGATCTCTGGGACTTGGGCAGTGTCATTGCTTCAGACAAGAACTGAGCTGGAGAGGGGTGCCTGTAGCCTGTGTACTCTCAGGACCTGAGAGTTTTAACGATGTAAATCTAATATGTGATAAAATATACGAAAACCAAGTAATTAAGTGAAAGAGGAAAAAAAAATCAAATACCACATCTAGAAATGGGTTATGCTTCCAGCAGGAACTTTTATCCTCACTTCCCACTTCAGTAATAGTGGGGGAGTCAGAATGGTTACTATGGTTTTATAAACAACAACCCATCCTCTCCATTCAGTAGCAACTACAATAGAAACCATAGATCTGCCTTGCGTGTTGTGAAAGACACCTGAAATACTGTGGTTCTGAATGCTGTTGAAAACAAGCAGAGCATAGTAGAGCATGCAGGCCATGGGGACACTGGCACAACTCTCTAAAAGGTTCTTGTAAACAAGTAAATGGGGCTGCACAGCTGGTATCTGCAGATGGGGGATAATGCTGCATGTAGTGTCCAGGCTGAGCAGCCACAATGAATGTAGGAAGTCTGATCTTCAGTATTTAATCCACGAGCTCAGGGTTATACGATGAGGGGCTTTCTGTGTTTCTGAACAAGTGGGTAGAGTTGCCTGCTTTATGATTCAGTTATAATTGTCCACTAAGAGGGCAAACTTTGACTGTTCTTTTGCCCTGGAATATAGTTTGGTTGGTTTAAAATTACATTTTTATTTCCTGACTTTGAAATGTTTGTGTTATGTGAGTGACTTACGATTAGTAAATATGTGTAATCTTAACCCTTCATAAATTTTTTTTTTTATTAGGTATTAGTTTGTTAGGACATTTCAGGTGAAGAGCTGAGTTCAGTGAGCCACAGGTCAAAGTTTAGTCTCAGCTCCTTTTTTTCTGGCTCAGTGTTTCTCGTTTGCTCATTTGAAAATTCATGTATGTAGATCAGTTTTTCCTTAATATTGATAGGTTGCAAAAATAATTTCCCTATAATTACTTTGAACTCTAAAATGTCTGGATTTTATTTTTGTTTTAGAGATTTGCACTATTGGGCAAAACACTGTGGATATAGTTTCTTAATGGAAGGGTTTTTGAGTTCCTAGGAGCTATTTTTGAAAACACAGTTTTGCTTCACAGTTTCATAGGAATAGATCATGAAAATCCTATAGCGTTACATGTGGTGCTGACTCCTGTGCATGAAGAGCAAATAGTAATACTATGATCAAGATGGAAAAAAAAGGCAAAAAAATACTGTGCAAACTCTATCAGGTTCTTGCAGGTTTGGTTTGTTGGATTGTTTTTTTCTTTTTTTTTTTTTGAATAGTAGCGTATAGGTTTTTTTTTAAATTAATTAATTTATTTAAAAATGTAATTGGAGGCAAGGAAAGGAGGAGATCTGTAATACAGAGCGCTGGATGCAGTTAAAAGGTTGCTTCCTTTGCACCTTTCTCCTTTTTGCCTGTCTTTGAAGGGAAGTACTTGTGAGAACACCAAGATAAGTTTCTGATAATCCACCAACAAACTAAAAATACACCACCTAAAGATGGCAGAGTTTGAAGTGATGGTTGATTATGGCCACTAGTGATAAACGTTATTTTTGTTCCTGCTGTAAGAGCTTCTGTCAAAGAGCTGCTTGAAACTCTTTTTTTTGGCAATGAAGAATAGTACATAATCACATCGTTTAACATGGTATACATAGCCCAAAATATAGATTAGGTTCAGTTGGGCTAGCATGACTTGTTTTTTATAACACTATCTGCGGCGAGAATCTTTAGAAAGAATTGCTAAATTCTGCTATTGCTGTTGGAGGGACACTGGTATGAATTGACTTGAGACCTCATGTAGACTGTTCTCTATCTTTTCTTACTTAACTACTGCAGTTAATTTCATGCAGATTTAGTTGAAAACAAAGTAGATGTCCAGGTATGCTTCACTGTGTGTGTAATGCAGTAGATAAAACATCCTACAAAAACTAGTGTTCTGATGGCTATGCATTGTGAAACATGAAAATATGAATTCATAGATCATGTATCATACTGCATAACATGGAGAACCTGTCTAGATAGTAGGATTCCCAATTATTAAGCATGAGCTGTAGTTCTATTACAGCTCAGTGTAATATGATTTGTATCATCACCCAAAAGTTGAAAGCAGGGAGTACTTGCAAATTATTGAGAAGCATTTTAACAGAATGCAGCACATCTTAAAAACTCTTTTCTACAGTGAGCTGCATTAAATCTAAAAGGTTGATACCTTTCCCTTCAAAACTGTGACAATTAAGGACAGTTTTTTGTGGACAGTCTATCACAAATCAGTAACATTTCAGTTGGTTTTACAAGTGTGACCTTCTGTAGCTTAGGAGCCTGGCTTTCCTTTACCTTTGCGTAATTTTGGATGTTGTGGCAGCATCAGCTTCCTGCTGTTGACTAACCTTTAGATTAGAAGCTTGGAACTGAATTTAAAGCTTCATGATCTCTGGGTAATGAGTAGTGTTTAGTCAGCATATGTTCATCTTTGTGTGCATGCCCATGGTTTACAGGAAGGATGTAAAGGGAGGTCTGACAGGGTTGGGGTAGGAACAAAGTCTGGACCTGATTCAGTGGTAAGTACAAGCACACGAGGATTTAATGGTCTAGCTTACCTGCAGTGATATAGCACCTATGCATTATTTAGCATGAACGTGCAAAGGTGAGTGCTTCCTAAGCAAGTGTTGTGGGTAGATGTGCAGGAAGGAAGGGAGGTTTTAATACCAAGCAAATTAAAGGAGAAGGAGTAAATACAGCCCTATATGAATATTTTTGCATCTGATTTTACTTCTACAATACTCAATCCAATTTAGTCATTCTGAGATTTCTCTGTACCAGTTGTATAACTTGGATCTCTTTCAGACTGTAGTGAGAGATGTAATTGCAGTACCTGTAAGCACACCAGAGTTGGTTTTCCTCTAGCTTGCTTGGGCTACCTGCCCGAGTAAGTAAATACAAGGTGGACTTGCATGGCTGAGGCTGCTGTGTGTAGTGGTACAACATCAGTGCTTCTGTTAGTTTACTAACTAGATTAAAGGTAATTCAAGCTTTATATACGCTGCAGCTGCACCTGAATGGTCATGTAGGCATACTCCAACCCACAGTAAGGAGTGTCAAGAAAAGATGACCCTGTTGGCCATGTTCCAGTTCAGAGAGAGTCTTCATCCTGATCTTTTGGAGCTTGATCTTCTAGTAGTTGCTACCATGGTGAAACAGCTAGAGCATCCAGCTTCAGCTGCACTGAGATTTCATGTTAGATGCCACTCTCGCAATCATTGAGGCTAGCATTTTTGGAAATCTCTGATAGTACCTCAAATTTCTTGGGTTTAGTGAGTCTGATGAAGGTACTATATATAAGACTAACTAGAGGATTTCTTTTATCTCTAGCTTAGAAAGTAAATAGCAATTAGTTTGAACTTTCTTAACTAAGAAATAAGAAGGGCAGCTTTAATTTTTAATAGCTTCATTTTGAAGCATATTCTTTAAAATTTCCGTCCCCTGGCTATGCAGTGTTTTCAGTGATATTTTTGATTTCTGACCTTTAAAACAGCGACTTTCATTTCTTGCTTCTCTTGCATAATTCTTAGATGTATCTGAGGCTTGGAAGGGCACAGCAAATCCTGTTTTCAGTCTTTTCAGCCCCACGTAGGCTACTCAGGGTTTTTCAGCAAGCTGCAGTACTGCTGCAGGCAGGTAACCTCCCTCTGGCACTGGCAAGGCATTTCTGATGGCTGAAATATTTCAGCAATGCTGAACAATGTTAAAAATACCTAAGACAGAATAGTTTGCAGATTCCTTCAGGTTCTCTGAATTCCTTTCTGCAGGTTATAATATAGTGCAGATTTCGTTTTAAAAAAAAATTGCTGCTCAACACTTGTTTCTTTTAAAATGGTTTTGCTTTCTTCAGTTGTCTTCATCATTCTGAACAACAGTTCTAAAATGCTGAATATAATCCTTGAGTTAATTTAGATCAAACAAGGAAGTGGTTGTAAAAGAAGTTTAAAAACAATTGCTTAATGTATATTAACTGCTCAGATGCTACAGGATGAGCACCGAAAAAAAAGTCCTTGCTTTTTTTCAAATAGGAGATACAACTTTAGTGTTAACCAATTCAATCATCACTCAGCAGTACCTGTAGAAGTTATTTGTCCCAGGGCCAATTTCACGTGTAGAATTAGGGTAAATAATGAAAAATGAACTAATGTAAAACATCAGCAAGCATATTAGTAGTTTTGTAAGATCTCTAACTAAAAAGTTACCAGCCTAATCACTGAATATATAACTAGTACTCACTTGGAAATACTTTCATCTACTGGACATTGGCTTTGACCCGAGTTCTCTTAAAGCACAAATTTTACAGCTGTACTTCTTTTTTCCTGCAGTAATGCCAGATGGAGTAGAAATAGCCTGGGTATTTGAACCATAGAAGCTAGAAGTATTTATTTGGTCATATCTGCGTGGGCTTTCACAACTTTTTATGTAAACAGTAGATTTGTGTATGAGAGGAAGCTCAGCTTGCGCTACTCTAGAGCACTCTGCAGAGTCGCGTGGCTGAGCAGTTTCATTGTTTTGAATGACATTATCAGAATTTCTCTAATCTTAAATGGTATCGTTATTTGTTTGTGGACACGTATAGAATGGGCCTTTCCATAAACTGACAGGACAAATACACGCCTGTTTCCTGTATCAGTAGCTGATGCATATTTAATGCTGAGCATCCTTTCAAGATTGAAAGTGGATAGAAATAGTCAGTGCTGAATAATTGTAGATAACCTCCAACCCCGTTGCAGTTCAGAAGGTGATGAGCAGCTTTAAAAAATTGGTTACTTGCAGAAATACCTCATTTGTTGTTCAGATGGCTATTAGCTATTCAAATTTGAAAGTCATGGTTGTACTTTACAGTATACCTTGATAGTTTCCAAGTCCTGTGCAGATAGTATCTGTAAGTTTCCAAGTTGCTGAAGGACAAGAATGAGACAAATACCTAGGTTCATAGCTGACATGAATGCTAGCTTCCTTAGGTCTAGTAAGTAAATGTTGATTTATTGCTTGCTTTGCAGAGAGCTTGCTGTGTCTTGTGGTAATGTGTAAATGTTGTTTGCAAAATCACATGTCATATCATGACCTTAATCATGCTAACATCGCTTGTTAATTGTTCATCTCCAAGCTTGGGCATAAATGCTGTTTGACTAGAGCCTGATTTTGCACTGATTGTAAATAAATATAACAATACTGTCATATAGCATATAGCATTGCTTTCATTAAAGATTGATTTATATGCTATGATGTTTTTTCTTTTTTCTGCACAGATGATCGTGTGGTTGGAGAAAATGCTAGATAAAATAATCAGCATTTTCATAATATTTTTGCTAGTGATAGGAACCCTTCTGCTAGCCCTGCTCCTTACTGCAAAGGTACAGTGTGCTAAGGAATGTAATCATAGAGTTCGTTTTTAAATACTGAGTGAAAGTTACTGATATTTATGCAAAATTGTGTAGCTTAAAGAATTTTTTTTTTAAAACTTAGCAGCTAAATGCTCTGTAGTTGAACTTGTTACCATTCCAAGACTACTTATATATGAAAATCTATATATTTATATTTAATTGTATTTATATGTTTATTTACATATATGACAAAACTAATGTATAGACATTTGGAAATACGAAATTTATTCTAGTAAGAGAATTACTAGCTTATATATTACAGAAACATTTGTTTTGCATGCTGTTACATTTTTCTGGTCAACGGCAGAGCCACTTAGAATTTTTTCTTTCTAACTCGCCTTGCATCAGAAACATACTTGCAAAATGCTTAAGGTGTATTTGTCAATTTGTTTGTGTAATTGCCTGTAATAACCTCATGGTATCCTGTTCTGAGTTTAAATGTGCTGAGATTCACAATCACATGTTCTCTGAAATTAATTTTTTGGTTTGTGGTTGGGGTTTGTTTTTTTTCTCACCAGAAGAGGTCACTCATGTCCTTTTTTTCTTTTTTTTTTTTAATGGAGCTGTGTTCCTACTTGAAACAGTCAATGGAGATTGAGTGTTTGACTTGAATACAGTTACGGAACAAAAATCAGTGGGTTCTGATGTCAGTCTCCGTTTTCCAAAATGTAGGCTTACATAGGGTTGTACTTGAAAGCTTTAAAAGTTGTGGATACGTTCCTGTCTAAAGCTGCCTTATATTCATAAAATGAACATTAAGATAATTATAAAAGGTGTGTTTTATCATTTTTACTGAAGAATTAATTTGGTGAGGCGCTTCATAGTCTTAGTTGGCCATGTTAGAGCTGAGCATTCATTAATTTTTACACTTCTTTGATCCGTGGCTTAAAAAGGTATATCTGAAACTGCTTTGTATTTTAGTACTTCCCTTGACAGCACTGCTGTATTGTTAGAATTTTTTCCACTGATGAGATAAGGTTTAGATTTCCATTTGCTATTACTAGTCACACAGTATATGACCAAAATTGTCAGAACAGACTGATTGTTGTATTGATGATTATTGTATTATATTGATAAGGTTTAAATTTCCATTTGCTATTACTAGTCACACAGCGTGTGACCAAAATTGTCAGAACAGACTGATGATTGTTGTATTGACTGCTTTTTTGGGTTAATGGCACTTCATTCTTCATAATGGGTTGTCTGCGTTGGAAGAATTATTCTTTAAATGTACAAACTGGTCACGCACACAGCCCCTTCACACACACCCCCAAAAAAACCCAAAGCCTCTCTTTAGTTTGCATTACATAACATTTCTCCTCTCTATATTTAATTTAGGTACATCAAGAGAGCGTTCACATGATTCAAGTCACAAGCAGCTTGATCAATGAGACAGTAGCCAGTCACCCAGAATGGGCAAAGTAAGAATGCTGAAGTTAAGCGAATAGTATAGGGTGGATGAATAATCTTCCAGGTGCTCTTATGCATAGTTTTTAATTTAAAAAATCCCTTAGATGAAGAGAAATGGGAGTGACTGTTGCAGGCAGATGTAAAAGCTAAACGCTCAGGGAGCATTAGTGGTTATGTGACAGTGAAGACTATTAATGTGGTATCTTATTTGAGGACTGGTTGGACTTCGGTGGAGAAGGACAGCTGTATAAACTTCTCTAATTACAGTTTTGGAGAAAAACTTGCGTAGTGCAGAGAATAAAGAGGTCAATATTCTTTTCCCTTTTACCTGTAAAAGAAAAGTAATGGCAAAGAATGCTCTCTGTAGAAGGTTGTGAGATGAGAGCTGAATTATCTTTTTCAGTGTGGAGAGCTGGCTGTAGAATGCCTTTGAGGGAATAGAAGTTGAAGGAAATGTTTTTGGAGTGAATTGAAAAAGAGTTCGAGGGTGGGAAGAATGGTGGATGGGGAGAGTTTGGTGTGAATCAGTTGGGAAGGGCTGTTCCTATTAAGAGTAGATGTGTATAGTTTACGCAATGGGAAGTTTGTCAGATACGGTCTGTGTAATGATTAGAGCAAGCACCAAGGCAAACATTAAGGGGGAGAGAAGATTTTGAGAGAAATGCATAACAATGGCACACTAGTGAGCAAAGAAGTGATAGCATGAACAGCAGAGGGGGAATAGGTAAGACTGAGGAGTGTGATTTTTATTTTTTTTTTTGAGGGGAGGATGTTCCAGTTTGCTTTCATTCTGCTTCAGCTTAACAGACATTGAGTAAAGGTGAGTCCAGGCACTTAACAGGAAAAAGGAATTGTCTCCTGGACAAGAACAGTTGACTTTTCATGGGCACTTCATAAACAGAAGTGATGATGGCTTAAGGGGATTAAAAGAAAGCGCATGTTGTATTATAAAACCTAGAGAAATTTTAAAAAACAGAACTAAAATGATATAGTTAATAAATGCTATACTAATAGATGTGCTTTAGCAATACTTCAATAATCGTGATCAAGAGAACAGGAAGCACTTAAAAATGTGTTTGTTTATTCCTTCGTGGCATCTCTTGTGTTGTTTGGCCTTTCCATTTTGCTGTAAGATGGAAATAAGTAGTACTAATGAAAATGGAAATTTGACTGTCAGAAGCATAGTCACATAATGAAAATACTGGAGTATTAGTTGAGTAATTAGCAGAATTTTAGCTAAAATTTTTACTTCCAGTGTTTGCATCCAAATTTGAAGCGTCCAAAATATCTTTCAATTCTTTAGGAGTAAGTATATCTCTTGTCAAATCCATCAAGCTTCACTAGCTTTCAGAGCTTGATGCTCACATTACGTTTAGAGATGAGTGACTGAAATGTCATGGAATTCCAACGCAGAACATTTCTGAAGGGTTATACAGACAGAAGAGCTTCCATGTTGATCTTCAGTCAGGTGAACAAATGCAGCAGTTTTATCTCCTGAATGCTTTCTTGTTTTGGAAGGGCTCCAACATATGCCGTGGAATCAAAATGTGGAAAGAGAATGTAGAGAATGTGTGCCTTGTATTTACAAGTGTTGGAGTGTTGGCAATGTAATAGGCTCCTTTGCTTGAAAGTGACATGAATCCCCAAAGAAATTTGTGAGCAGATAATTTGCTGGGGACTTAGAAATAACTGGTGCCCAAAACTGTTGTTCCATCTGGCTGCTTTTTCAGGGAAGCTATGTTAACAGTTTACATTCAGTTTGTAGTTCAGAAGGTTGTCTTTGCAGCTAGACAGGACTGCTTTGTATAGTATTTTCAGAAAACTAGAACACTAAGAAAATTTCTAGGAATGTAATGTGAATAGCACACATACAGATTGAAGAGCAGATCTCTCTTGAAAAAGTTGAGATACCAATTTAACTAAGGGCTTCAGGAACCTTAGAGAATCCCAAATGCAATCATGTGCCCTAGATTTAGTTGTGCTTTGCTTATGAGAAAGTCTGTTCCTTGATATGTAGAAGGAAATATTCTAGTTATAGTAAGATTATATGTATTTAGTCTTAACTGTTTGTTGTTATTTCAAAATGTTAATTTGTGATGTGTTTCATGTATAATGAAGTGGGTAAAATACGTAGCAGTTAACTTTGTTTTCCTTCTTATAAAAAACCTAGCTGGCTTCCAGAAGCACAGGTTATTCAGAAGGCACTCAATTCAGCGGCTAATAATGTATACCAATATGGCCGAGAATGGATTACACATAAGGTAAGAGTGAGCTTCCTCGCCTTTTTTTAATGTTTTAATTTCTTGTATTTCATAAAAGTAAAAAGAAATAAAAAGATTTTTGTCGGTGATTCTTTTCTTTGTGGTTGACCATTTTGTTGACAGATCTATTCTTTCCACTCTCTAGTTAGTGAGTTGAAAGAAGGGTGGGAGTGATTTCGGTAGTCTTTTCTGCTCAGAGAAATATTTATTTTTAAGACCTGAAAAATCTGTCATCGTTTTAATAAGATTACCGGTGAAAATACATCAAATAGATGAGTATTTTTTTTCATCTGGCTTTAGCTGTCCAATTGTAGGGAATGTAGACTTCTCCCCCACCCCTATCAGTATTCTAACTTATATGTGGGCTGGGTGTGGTAGATTGGATTTTTTCAAAATTATAATTTATTTATTTAAGCTAACTTTCTTCAGGAGAATTTGTCTGGATTGTTATCTATATGTTTTGATATCTAGCACACATCTCAAATTATTTGAAGTATTTACTAAAGATGATCAAGGATTTTGGATTAAGCATTTTAGGAACGGCATTGGTTTTTCAGTGCAGAAAGAAGTCCTCAGCTTAGTGCAGCAGAACATTTTTTACAGACAAAATCTTCATGTTGTGAACCATGTTGTGAACCAGTATGTATTCCATACTGATACTCAGCTTTTCTAATAATTTAGGTTTGAGCCATGCCTTTACTGACAATCTTATGTGATTCATCTATCTTGGAGCTCATCAGTAGATTTTTTCCTGTATAATAAAAGGTTTTTATATGTTTTAGCTCCACAAGATTTTAGGAGAAAAAGTGAATAACACCGCTGTGATTGAAAAACAAGTGCTAGAGCTCTGGGACAGGCTTTATCACTCTTGGTTTGTGAAGGTGAGTAACTTATTTAAGTGGTATTTATATAAACTATTAGTATGTAGAGGTAATTATGCTAAGTATGCATTTCTGAGAAAGATTAGCAAAAAGTTAGAATGCTGGGTAAAGGTCATAATAATAGAAAGTTGGTAAAATTTTCAAGTGTATAAGATAGATCATTCTACAGTCACAGTTTGAGTACAGCCAGAACTATGTCCTTCACTTAAGTAGTTATGTGTCTTTATGTATGTCATTTAATTTGCACTTTGCTCACTTTTTATCGTTCGTAATTCATAGTTCAGAGGTTTCTGTTGAATTTTCGTGATTTTGAGGGTTTAGGAAAAGGAAGTTTGTATTCTGCGTGATTTGTGTAACTTTTATTAATTTAAAATTTTGGGAAAGAAATTATCCTTTCACTAAGTTTCTTACAATGCATTTTTGCTAACTGTACTAGCCTTCCTGTAATGGGTTCTGCACACTGAATCTTGAAAAGGTCATAAGAGTTAAAACATTTTCATGCCACCATTTTTCATGCTATGCTTGCCTTTTAAGGGAAAAAGCAAGCAATTCATTAGCCATGGTGCAATGGAAATATAAAAATCCAGAGGTCATATCCCTGAAATACTTCTCCATATTTAAATAATTGTAGTTATAGTATATTAGCACTTTTCTTTATGCAGTTGTTTTTAAAGTACCTCTAAAATTCTAAGAAGATCTCTATACCAAAAGAAGTAAGAGTTTCAGTATAGTAAACAAAATAGTAGGGGAAAGAATCAGCTTTTTTTTTTTGGACAAGATAATGCTGTGGAACAACGTGTGGAGAGATAACATGACGCTGTTGAGGAGTATGGAATCACTGAGAAGAAATTAAAGCTGTATCTACAATGGATTTTGCTGGCCTTATGCACTTGGGAGTGTTCAGTGTTAAATGCTTGACCAAGAAAAGTACCTACTTTTGATACAGTTATACTGATAAACCTGTTGCTTTTACTAATATAAGCTGTGTGTCAGATGGTCCATGGCACCGTATCGTTCAGCCGGGCTCTGTGTCACTACGTGTGCTGTAGGAGTACTTTGTTGCTGCAGTGTGCGGCACAGGTTGTGTCTTTGTTCGCCGCCTTACGTGAATTCTTTCCTGCAGCTGTTATTGGAGGGAGTACTACGAGGCCTCTTTCATGTAAATACTCTTCTGGTAGAGTAAGAAACAGCTTTCCTAGCAATCAAAATGGCAGAGAGGAACGCACTGATGCTCGCTGCCTACAATCTTGAAGTCTGTTCCCCTGGCTGCTGTTTGCGTAGCAGAGACCTTCTGTTACCATTGACATTCTAGGCTGCAACCGATTATCTGTGGGCTGCAGGTAGCTCCTTCAGAATCTACATCTAATCTTGCCCCTCCTATTGCACTCTGTATCCATGTAAATGTCTCACCTGAGTGCTTTCTGCCTGGCTGTTTCCTTCTGTAATATTGCAATAGCCTTGCATGGTCTTTCAGTATATCTGAAAACTGGTAAACTAGATGATAGTGCAGTGTGGAGGACATCTCTACCATATCTAACTCTCAGTACAGCTTTCAAGCTTCCCACTATTTCAGCTGTATGAGCACAATAATTACACTTTGTTTTGAGGCCTGCGTAGTGTTGCTGTAGTCTGTAGGTGACTGAGGAACCTAGGCTCAGGTGATACTCTTCTGTGAAAGCTGTAGAATTCAGGAAGAATTGTCAATGAAATGTCGATTCTCAGAAAGATTCAGTTAATGGCTGAAGATTGGTAGATAGCAAATGGTGTATATTTTAAAAGGTCATAGAGGTGTTGTGATAGATCAGTTACCATTGCATCTGTGTACCAAATGAAGTGAAATAGTAACAGAGTAATAACCCACTTGGAAGATGATGGCATAACTCTGCAGTCACGATGTTTTGCAGACAAGAGTCTCTTCTTCCTAGTCCATTCAGGTGTGGTTTTTTTTTTTTTTTTTTTAAGAGCTAGTGAATTTGTTGAAGAGGAACCAGTTGACAATTTCTTGGAATCCTTTATTTATTAATACCTGAGGCCTTAGGTGCTACAGCAGTATAGTCGCTCAATAACAATGAACGTGAAATGTGTATTAATAACAAAGTTATAAAATTTGCAAATGATACCTAATTCTGCTGGTTAATTTTGAGAGCTGTCTTTGAAAGTAGATCTAGGTGAACAGAAAATAGGTTCTTGATACAGTTTACAAATGCAGAAGGCCTGTTGGAGGGAGATTTTTGACTACTCACATATTTCTGCTCTAAATAAACTACAAGCTCAGAAGAAAGATCTCTGTGTTGCTCTGGATTGTTAAAGAGTGTTGCTAATTGTGTATCATCAAGTGTAACAATGCATCTAGGGAGAATTATTAATAAGCAGAAAATGTAATGCTCTTGGGGAAATCAGTGCAGGGACACCAGTTGAAAAACTACCTGCCATGTATGCCAGGAAAGATGCTGTCGTTTTGAATGTGTTCTGGTGAGGTTAAAAGTTTTTGGAATATTCTAACGGAGGTAATGGGACACTTATATAAACACCAGAGTTGAGAACTTTAGAAGTCTCTTGTTATTAAAGATTAGGATAAGATCTGTTGTAGTCAATGGGTTTGCTTAGACTTGCTTGCAGTAGAATTTTGGCATCCTTCTCTGAAACACTTGTCACAGTCCCAGACTGAGTCAAATAGTCTCATGCTAGATGGTGTGATTCAGTTGGACAATAGGCAACTTCCTAATTAGGGTGAAGCCACTTAAGGAACTAGCTGTTGTGGTTATGGCCATTTCCTGTTTTGCTGTGTTGGAGTTACAAAGCTGTGTAGTCAGAAGAAATCATAGAATCAGAGAATCATAGAATGGTTTAGGTTGGAAATGACCTTGAAGAGCATCGAGTTCCAACCTCCCTGCCATGGGCAGGGACACCTCCCACTAGACCAGGTTGCCCAAGGCCACGTCCAGCCTGGCCTTGAACACCTCCAGGGATGGGGCCTCAACAACCTCTCTGGGCAACCTGTTCCAGTGCCTCACCACCCTCAAAGTGAAAAACTTCCTAATGTTTAATCTAAACCTGCCCTCTTCCAGTTTATATCCATTCCCCCTCATCCTGTCACTACATGCTGTAGTAAAAAGTCCTTCCCCAGCTCTCCTGTAGGCCCCCTTTAGGTACTGGAAGGCCACAATAAGATCTCCCCGGAGCCTTCTCTTCTCCAGGCTGAACAGCCCCAACTCTCTCAGCCTCTCCTCATAGGAGAGGTGCTCCAGCCCTCGGATCATCCTTGTGGCTCTCCTCTGGACACGCTCCAGCAGGTCCTCCATGCTTCCAGTTTAGCTTTTAGCTTTTGCATGACTGAATGTTGCCAGTGGAGAGGTAGACACTGATTGTGAGAAAACTACTTGTTTTGGCTTCTGCTTGTATTTTCCATTGTGGGTTGTACTGGGAGAAATTGTATGTTGTAAACAGTAAATTACGTAGGCGGTGGCTAAAATCATTACCTCTTGTGTGCTTTCATAAAGAGCAAGATAGATACTATTGTATCGGTCAAACAGTAAAGCTAATGTTTAACTGAGGTGAATCGGTACAATATACAGAACTGTAATTATATGGGATAAGTAACAATGGTTTTCTGCCAGATTTCAATTTTTCCAGTGTACAGAATACTTAACAGCTATTTTTGAGGATGCCAATTAAAGCAGCTTTCAGTAGATACATGTTGGATCTATTCCTTGTTAAGAAAACACTAATCTTTGGCTTTCTCCTATCTGTAAGCAATTCAAATGTCTGTTTTTTTTATGTCTTTGTCTCTCTTTTTAAGAATATAACACATTCTGGAAGACACAAAGGACACAAATGGCACATAAACCGTCAAAACAGCTGGCTTGGTGATATTCTGGACTGGCAAGATGTTGCATCATTTGTTCATGATAACATTGAAACATTTCTTTCGGTATGTATTTTTTGCCCTTATTACCAAATTGGTCTCATTTTTAACTGATAACAATTCCTCCTTGGACTACCACTAAGGTTATAGATTCAAGTACATGGAAAATATAGCAACACTGTTAATGTTACTTAAAATTACCTAAGCAATTACTGTAAGCCTACTTAGGATATAACCATGCTACAAACAGAACTGGTCGTGGTGAAGAAGCTTTCCTAATGTCAGCATCTTCGTTAATACTAGCTCCCCAGACTTTTTGCGAGAGAGATTCTTAATGTAGGATCACGTGTGTCACCTGCAAGTTGGTTTTAAATGCTTTATTTTATGTAGTCTTTTCTTCATAAAAAAGGGAGAAATTTGTCTAGGTTATAATTGAGGAAACTATTGACCAAAAGGTTGTGAAAACAATTTTTTTTAAATTTTTTTTGTAGTCTTACTTTTTTTTTTCCCCTTGAATTATTATTCATTCGGTTGAAAGCAGCTTATTTCTCTCTTCTTTTATGAAAGTTCTGTGGAGAATGAAATTAATATTTTACACTATGTGAATTCCTGAATTAATGCACTGGACCTTTCACCTCATGGGTAGAAAAAGAAAAAGCATTGAAAGCAATCCCAACTGAAGCAACTACATTTCTCTAAAAAACTGATGTTAAGTCTGAAATGCTTAATATACAGAGTCAACCCCTAATATAGTTCATCTTTGACTTAAGCTATTGTCACAAACACATCTTCAGGTTACTATTTATCCATTTTGGAAGAATATTATTTATACCTAACTCGCAGCATAATGTTTCCGTGGATGCAATTAAAGCTAGTATTTGCCTTGAGACAGTTCTTGGTTTAGACTGATGGGCATGTGTGCTTTTTCTGTCTTCCCTCAACTGCTGCTTAAATTGTTACAGTTTCTATCATAGAAGAAGATGTGAGTCAAGAACAAGTTGAGAGAAACTTTATTGCAGTGAACCTTTTTTCGGTTAATAGTGAAATTTGCTTAATTCTTTCTCAACGTTGACCATATATGCTTGAGGCAGAGTTATGAAAATGCACAATGTATCATTTAAAATCAATATGAAGTTTCCTTCAAGGCAGGAGGGAGATGAGGAGAAAAACTACATAGTAAGTGCTAGCCATGTCATATTACAGCATTGCTGCACAGTGCTCAGAAACCATGATAAGTCTGCTTCAGTAAACTAAATAGGCTAGAATAATGCAGGAAATAGTGTAAAGAGAATGAATATTTAAGGCTGAAATACATTAATACTAAAATTTTCATCTAGCTAGCATGCTTTGCTTTACTTCTAAAATCTGGTTTAGAAGTTCAGGAAAAAAAGTGCCAGCAGTTGACTTGTTTTCCTGTTTATTTCCATGAACTCATTACTCATCAGCTGTGGGGAAACACCTGTCCTTTTTCTCCATACACTCACGTCCTTGCAGACAGACTGTAAACCAGTCAGCGTAGTATATAGCTTTAAATCCTGATTTCACATCCTTACTGGGCAGCATTTTCTTTGCTGGCTTGCTCATCCACAGTGCATTGCATAAATATTACTGACACCAATATTTCAAACGAAAATTCATGAAAATCTGATTTCTGTGCTTGTGTAGGTCATTAAAACTTGGAGATGATGAAAATAAGAATAGGATACCATGGAAGCTTACTGTATTTGGGATTTACGTTTTTATCAGAGCATGAAAATCTTTCTCTTGGTATTTTGAAGAGGAATAATGAGTTATTAGAATGCATACTGAATTGGGAAGATGAATATTTTGCATTATGTGGGTGCTTTTGAGGGGGGTTGGTTTGTGGGTTTCTTTTTCCTTTTGGGTGGATTTTGTTTGTATTGGGTTTGTGGGGTTTTTTGGCCTTTTTTTCGTGTTTTGTGGGACTTTGGATGGGATTTTTTTTTTTTTGGTTGAGTATGTTGTGTATGGTGGGGATTGAAGGGGTGGTGGTGGCGGGGTTTAAATAGGTTAGCTGTATTTCAAAACTGTAGGATGTTTCTGCAGTCAGTCACGGAGGGGATCTGCTCAGGAGCTGTCCTGACCTGCAGTGGAGTGGCAGATCTCAGCACACAGTGGGTTTCCTGAGGTAGGAGGGTGCCAGGGCAATGGAGAGACCTGACAGGAGCTGGCAGCTCTTGTGGGAGATGGTGGCGAGGCCTGGGCATTGCCAGGGCAGCTGCAGCACCCCACACACCTATAAAAAGCACCCTGAGGAGCACAAGCGACCAGGGGTGCTGTGACCAGAGCAGGCAAACACAGTGTGGCACATCAGCCACAGCCCAGTGCGACAGCTTGTGTGGAAGGGCATGCAGGAAGGATGTAGTCACCCTACCAGCTCAAGGGGTGAGTTCAGTTGGTGGTCATCACCTTCTTGGAAGAAGTTTAGCTATGGTATCCACTTGGCGGAAAGCCATGTCCTCTGCACTCGCCAGAACACAGCTCCCATGAAAACATGCAGCTATCCAGATTGAGGGCTGCAGGCAGTGCCAGAGCCTTTCGCTGGTAATGGATGGCAGTAGTGACAACAGATGTGTGAGGTGTGACCAGGTGGACAATCTGCTCAGCCTGGTGGCAGAGCTACGAGAGGAAGTAGAAAGATTAAGGATCATCAGGGAGTCTGGGAAAGAGGTAGATTGATGGAACCATACTCTGCCCTCCCTGAGACAGAAATGGGAACAGCCACCAGAATAAACCCAAGATCAAAGGGATCCTGTATTTTCTCCCTGCCAGGCTGAAAACAGTAGCTTAAAGGAAAGGAGTGAATGGAGGCAAGACCATGCTTGGGGGTGGCAGGCAAACACCCACCTTGCCTTCCCCAGTGCCTCTGTACAACAGGTACAAGGCTCTGGATGTGGAAGGCCAGCCAATGGATGATGATGTGGATGACGGTCTATCTACACCAGAGGTGCTGCCAAGGTCAGAAAGGCCTACCCCCTGTATCACAACCACCTCCACAAGGAAGAAAAGACGGCTTATAGTAGTAGGTGACTCCCTTCTGAGGGGAACATAGGGTCCAATATGCCAGACAGACCCTCCTCTTAGGGAAGGATGCTGCAACGTATAGTCCAAAGGGGATCAAAGGAAACTTCAGGGCCTTGAAACAATTGGTAGGGGAATCTGAGGCACAGGTCGTTTCTTCCTCTCTCCTTCCAGTTGCAGGCAGCAACATTGGAAGAACCAGACTGGCCTGATCTATTAATACACATCACCACCACATTTTCAAGGTTTTCGGTAATGGCATAGCCTACATGGCACCAGGCTTACTGGCATCAGATGGGGTTCACCTTTCTCAAAGGGGCAAGAGGGTCTTTGGTTACAAGCTAGGGGGGCTCATTGACAGAGCTTTAAACTAGGCTTGAAGAGGGAGGGGGATAGTATCAGGCGTGCGTGTGGCAAGCTGTGGGATGACATCCAAGGTTAGAGGGACGGTATGCTAGTGAGGGCTCTCAGCCTGTTGATCTGAGACATAATGGCTACAGTGCAGCACACTTGAAGTCTTACAGAGATGAGCCAGGGGCTCCTAAGGTAATAGGAGCCAACAAGGCAACACCAGTGAAATACCCCAAAGCAATTAAGGGGTGTTCCTCTAAGAAGGTGACACGGCCAACAGCCCAGCTGAAGTGCCTCTACACCAATGCACACAGCATGGGCAACAAACAGGAGGAGCTGGAAGCCACCGTGCTGCTAGAAAGCTATGACCTAGTTGCCATTTCTGAAACTTGTTGTGATTAATCCGATGACTGGAGTGTGACTATTGACGGCTACAGGCTGTTCAGAAGGGACAGGCAAGGAAGGAGGGGCGGAGGCATTGCCCTCTAAATCAAGAAATGGATAGTGTGTGAAGAGCTCTCTGAAGAATAGCCATGAGCAGGTTGAAATCCTATGGGTAAGAATAAGAGACTGAGGCAACAAAGGGAACCTTGTGGTTGGTGGCTACTACAGGCCACCTGATCAAGGTGAGCCTATTGACGAAGCCTTCTTACTCCAGCTGCAGGAGGCGTTGTGCTCAAAGGCTCTTGTCCTGCTGGGGGACTTCAGCCACCCCGACGTCTGCTGCAAAAGTAGCATGGCAAGCTGTAGGCAGTCCAGGAGACTCCTGGAGTGCATTGTGGATAACTTCTAAAGCCAGTTAATAGACAGCCCTATCAGAGGACATATGATGCTGGACCTGATGGTCACCGGTGCAAGTGAGCTAATTGGTGACATCAAGACTGGAGGCAGCCTGGGCTTAAGTGATCATGCACTGGTGGAGTTCGCAGTCCTGAGGGATCAGGTGAAGGGTAAAGTCAGGACCCTGAATTTCAGGAAAGCAAACTGCCAGCTCTTCAAGGAGTTAGTCAATAGGAGCCCTTGGGAAGCTGCTCTCGGGGACAAGGGAACAGGCAGAACTGGTAGATCTTCCAGGATGCTTTCCATAGAGCGCAAGAGCTCTCAATCCCCAGGTGTAAGAAATCAGGAAAGGAAGGTGAGAGACTAGCATGGCTGAAGGGCAAGAAGGAGATGCACAGGCAGCAGAAGCAGGGACAGGTGCCCTGGGAAGAGTATAGGGATGCTGTCTGGTTGTGGGGATGGTGTCAGGAAAGCAAAGGCACAGCTGGAGCTGAACATGGCAAGGTATGCAAAGAATAATAATAAGGGCTTCCTCGGGTATGTCAGCCTGAATAGGAAGGTGAAAGAAAGCATACCCTCCCTGATGAGCAAAACTGGCAAACTGGTAACAATGGATGAGGAGAAGGCTGAGGTACTCAACAACTTTTTTGCCTCAGTCTTCACTGGCAGTCTCTCTACCAACACCTTTCGAGTGGATGGGCAGCAAAGCAGGGACTGAGGGAGCAAAGTCCCTCCCACTGTAAGAGAAGATCAGATTCGTGACCACCTGAGGAACCTGAACATACAGAAGTCTATTGGACCTGATGAGATGCATCACAGAGTCCTGAGGGAATTGGCTGATAGGCTTCACAGCATAAGGGCATGGACCTGTTGGAGCAGATCCAGAGGAGGGCTACGAAGATCATCAGAGGGATGGAGCACCTCTCCTGTGAGGACAGGCTGAGACAGTTGGAGTTGTTCAGCCTGGAGAAGGCTTCGGGGAGACCTTATTGCGGCCTTCTAGTACTTAAAGGGGGTTTATAAGTAAGATGGGGACAAACTTTTTAGCAGGGCAGTTGCAATAGGACAAGACAATGGCTTTAAACTTTTAGACAAGATAGAAGGAAGAAATTTTTTACAATGGGGGTGGTGCAGGTCACTCGGAGAGGTGGTAGATGCACCATTCCTGGAAACATTCAAGGCCAGGTTGGATGGGGCTCTGAGAAACCTGATGTAGTGGAAGGTGTTCCTGCTCATTGCAGGGGGGGTGGACTTTGCAGGGGATGACCTTTAAAAGTCCCTTCCAACCCAAACTATTCTATGATTTTATGCATTTGGACACTTGAAATCGATGCTAACCTGCAATTCTTAAGAATATAGCAAGACACGGTACAGTCCCAAAACTGCTCTGACAGTTTTTTAAAACACAAACCATTTAAAGACAATGAGATAACTGTAAAGAAGTGTGTGCGTGTGTGTATATGCAGCTATAGGGAGATTTCATCCATCTTTGGAAAAGAATAAGATTACACTGCTTTTACATAATAAATGCTTACGCATAGATAGAGGCTTTCTGAAATATTTCAGAGTAGTACAGATGAGCTCTGAAAATACAGCTCTTTGACAGTGTCATATTGCAATCACAAGCAGATAAGCTCTTTTCCATTGATGGAAATCATAGGGAAGCGTTCATCCTCTTTAGTAAGAGAAGGAGCATTTGTTGTCAGAAAAACATTAAAAGAAGACAGATGAAAGTGTTTCACTTCAGGCTTTTCCTGTAGTGGAAGAAACTTTCATATGAGATTTGAAAGCATATAATTAAAACACTGGTATAACTGTGCTGGGGAGTTCCTGGCATTCATTTAGTTTATAACAATATGCAGCAATTCAGTACTTTAACTATGGGTATCAGATAAAGCACAGAAGACTTCTGTACCCCCCTCAAAATGTGCTATTCATTATAGCAGTTGTACTTAGCTCTAGTTTGATGTAGACAGACCTTAATTATTTTAAAGTAATTCACTCTATAAACATGTAAATTGCCTGAAGATTTAATATGAAGATAAGCTTTTCCAAATCATCAGTTTGCTTTTTTCTCAAAGCTTTGGTGTTAGGAGCACTGTTGCCTTTCAGCTTCAGATTCTTCCAGTATTCTGTAAAAGCAGTAGTGTTACAAACCAGTTTATCCAGTGATGTGTTTTCAAAGTGGGGTTTATTTCACCCTATTCTTAGTTTGGGGAGAGAACTGGAATGCATCCTCATTAATGCCTTGAATTTTGCACCCTGCGCTCCATTCTAACATAGTTTTTCAGTTGAATGAAATATGCAGGACTATTAAGATTTAATTTCTGAATCGTAAAAAAGCCTCGTTCCTTCTCCACTCACCTGCTTTTTCATTCATACCCTGTTCCTCCATGTCTCGAAGCCTTGAAACCTTGAAAAAGTAAATTGCAGCTGACTAGATCTGTGAATGATCACTCAGAACTCCTTTGATGGTATATGAGACATTGCTAATGTCTCCTTAAATTGATCTTTTTGCTTCTTGCACGAGAATATTCATCATTACACCAGCAGCCGGTATCTCATTCAGAGATTTCCTAGACAGGAAGACAGAAGACCTTACATTAAGATGTACACAGCAAGCATCAGCTCAGTTAGGTTTTTCTCGTCTGTACCTCTAGCATGACTGATCTGTGTGTTCCTAATCAAGTCAGTTTCTCAAATACATCACTGAGTTACCACGTATCCTAATGTTTTCTCTGACCCTGAGAATCCCCTGGCTTCCAGAAGTTTGTTGACTTGAAGTTCTCAGCAAATAACTTGTTTTGCTGAAGTGCCTTTTAAACCTTGCTTTCGGGTGTTGGCCAGTTTAAGTGGCCAATGAGACACCTTAGATGGCTAAGAGCATTAAATGCAATTTTGATTTCTTGCCTGTGACGGATTGGAAAGGCACAGCAACTGATGCTGATGGTGACATATCACAGTGTGATGCATAAGGGAGTTCTGAATTCTTTCCAGCTTCATAGCTTTTTTTGAAACACTGATCTCTTAAGGCTACTTACGAAGCAGTGTTTTGGGGAAAGAGGTGTGTTCTTCGGTTATTTAATAACAGTAATATTAAAAGTATCATTATTGTATAAGTATTCACACTTTGTGTTTTGGAGAACTGTTCTCAGCTGGCAAAGTATTATAAATTGTTTATGCATAGTAACTGAGACTAACTCAGCTGTTCTATGCTCTCGGTATCAAATGGCATTATGAACTCTTAGGTGTAGGTACAAGTTTTTTTGATTTTGTGACAGTTAGTGAAGTATTTGAGCACTTTCTGATCCTGTATCCAGTAATGATTAATGGCTACTATGTCTGTCTTCTCATCCTAGTGATGAGAAGTGTATGTCTTGAAATTTTAATGGTACATATGCATAAAGAGGAACTTACTCTGCAGCTGGAGATGAGTCCTAAAAGATGCGCTTGCTTTTGTAAGACATACCAAAGCTGAAGGGAAGGCACTATCCACACTTACTCTAAAGCAAATGCTTGTGATAACTAGTTTCACAGTTCCGATCAATGACTCTACCTAACAAGGGTGTTCTTCTAGGATAACCATTCCCGATATTGATTGAACCATCTGATGACTGCGTTCAGACTAACTGCAGTTGTATATTCCAGGTTATCAGCTCCTTAAGCTAAGGCTTCTAGGGACAGTGTTAAACAAATACAACCTATACTGGAGGAACATACTATTTTGAAGGAAACTTTCCCAGCCCCCACCAGATGTACGGTCCCTTGTGGCAGATGGAACAAGCCTCTCTCCTTCTGAACTGCTCACCAATATCAGCTCAGCTGATGTGTTGCACGTGCCGGTGTGCAAGGGAGGGAAATAACAATTGCTGTGACTAGTATTTAGAAGACTGATAAGTCAAACCAGTTTTAATCTTTAAAACAAAATGTTGCTAGACCAACTTTCATTAACAGCACACTTTGTGCTAATGGTTTGTTTATCCGGTTATATTAGTACAAAAGAAGGTATGGCTTTTTCTTTGTAACCTTGCTGCTTCTGTATGTTTGAATCACTTTGGCCAATACATTCTCACTGTATTCCTTCTGAATGAAATATTTGTGATGACACTACTGTACATTGCATTTAGGATGCCTCCATGTGCTGTGCCGTGCCATGCCTTTATGTCCTTAGTGTCTTATGAAGTTGCTGCCGTATTCAGATTGCTGTGTCTGCATCCATACATAAACTAATTTGGCTGTAGTGGGTATTCTATGTTTAAAGACACGTCTCAAAACTACTGTTTACTATCTGTAACTAATAAGCAATCAGTTCCCCAAGCCAGTAAAAATTTAATAGATTGTCTGGCATTGGTTTATTTATTTTCTGTAATTGTGTGACTGATGCGTCCATCCCTACCCAAAATCACAACTTGACTAGTTGTCTGCAGATATTATAAGAATTATGCATCTCATTAACATAAAATATTTCTAAAACAAATTTATTAAAGTAGTAATTGTTCTTCATGTTTTACCATTTCTCCTTTTGAAAAGATGAGTTTTCTCTCCCAAGACAAGATCTGCTTTCAGTTGATGGTGATGTTAATCACAATAAACAAGTGTCACTGCATCTAGATTTTTTGCAGTTTTACATAATGAAATAATTTTGAGCATTGGGAGAAAAATTCTAGAACCTTGTAACCATCTACCTAGGAACTTGTCTTTGGTAAAGCGGACGTTTTCACTTGGTATTACCTGCTGTAATTTAGGAGTGAAGGAAGATGATTTCTTTTTTTTTTTAAAGTCTTCTTTGTATGGCTTGATGGAGATGAGTCACTCTGTAAGCAGTTCTCTGTTCTAGCTAATACCATCCGGTGCCTGACTTTGTCTTTGCTTCCCACTCCTTTTCCAGATCCTGGAGTCTCTGTGGATAGTGATGAGTCGCAATGTGAGCCTCTTATTTACTACAGTTACAACATTAGTGACAATCCTCTTCCATAGTGGGACAGCTCTTCTCAATTTTGTGCTTTCAGTGGTAAGTAGTATGTCATTGGTTTACGTGGTCCCTTTTACTGAAGAAACCTAATTGCACATGTTGTAGCAATGAAAAATCAAACCTAAAGCATTGAAAATATCTTCTAACCTTATCTAATACCAAAATTCTTTTAAGGTTTTGCAACTTTAAAATCTGTTGTTTGGGGGGCATTCTAGGCAAAGGGCAAGGCTTGTGTAACTTCCACATCTAGGAGCTGGCAGTCTTCCTGCCATTCTATTAATGGAAAATTCTTGTTTCTGGCCTTGAAGATACTGAGCTGTAACTTGTGATATCCTGTAAAACTACTGAAATCTAAAGGCATGTCCTTACAACCATATCCTTAAACAAGCCGATGCTCTCGGAAGAGGGGAGGAATTGTTACAGGGAAACGTAAGCAAAAGTATTTATTTCACAAGGATTCCTTCATGTTCCCCTTTTTTAATGATGTGTCTTCAGCAAATATGTATGAAGGGGTTATTGTGTTGTTTTTATTTAACCTCTGTGAGCTCTTAATTGCAGAATGCTTCCTATGAGAAGTTAATTCTTATTAATATTATAGCCTATACTAAGTAGTAGTCTCTGAAACCTTTCTATTAAAGGTGGGGTTTTTTAAAGGATGTATTAATTTTTAGTGTATTATGTGAGGTAGATGTTTATAGTTTCTTTTGTTTCTAAATGCCACGGCTGTGTGGAGTAATTTATAATGGTAGACGTAACTTCTTTCTTCTCATTTGCTGTGACAGCTATTACTTAAAATAAAAATCTCCTGAAACAACCTGTAATAGCTGGAACAGAGCTGAAAGCTTGTGATCATCTTGATCTCAGACAATGGCCTGGGACTTTTCCCTGTTTTAACTAAACAAATACTGATCTTGGAAGCTTGACCAAAAACTGTGTCCTGGGTTTTGGTTCAGGATTCAGAAACATTTGTTAGAAAGCGAAGTGTTTTGCCAGTTTAACTTCATTGCCTTCATTGATACTTGCTCAGGAGGAAGGTCCTTGTAGGCAAAGCTGCAAAATTGAAATAATGTTTAACAGCATTTCAAGGCAGCTGTGTGGGTTCTCTTCAAAATTTAAGAAAGAACAGTTCACAGTGAGACTTAATGGAATGGTTGTCTTAAATCGAAGAAAATCACTGCCGCTTAATTTTGTTGTTCTCTAGTTATCTTTGAGATGGTGAAGAAAAGATTGCAAGGGAATATTTCATTTCTTTTCTTCCTTTGTGATGACACATTGAAAATAGTGTCTTACAAGTTACTTAAAAATGACAAATTTGGATAATAATTGCATATGGGTTCGATATACTCATTGCTCAGGCACAAAATTTAGCTCTAGATGGCTAATGGCTTATACCAAGTTCATTACACGCTGTTGCCCTGCTGCATGATCTTCCGTTATTTGTCTGTCAGCAGGGTCCCACCCCTTGCTGGAGCGCTGTGCAGTCAGCTGGTTTAGCAGAGCTAGTGAGGATACTGCTGTGTTGGAATTCTTTTAAAGATCAGATGCCCTAAAGGCTATTCTGTTTCCTCTACTTCTGTTGCAGGTTGAACATGTTACTTAAAAATGATCATATAAAGCTTTCCCCACCAAAACGCATCAGTCCTGCACTCTTGGTTTCTTGGATTTGTTCATGAGCTTCCATTTTGCACTTCTAGTGATCTTACATACATAGGGAATACTTATTTTAATCCATGTATTGGCTCTTTCTGTAGATGCTTGATAACAGTAGCTTTTGAAATGCAAACAGCAGAACTGATAAATTAGAAATACTTCAACTTTTAAGAAATAAGGCAAAAAGTCACTGAACAACTTTATGTCCTGTTAACTCTACTTCAGATATGCCAGGGTAAAGGGTTATGCTTGCCTCCATTTCGAAGCACAGAAAATGTAGTGTGTAAGTGTTGGTGTTCCTGTGACTGTATGAACTACCTCTGTTGAAAGCATTTACAATTCACATGCCTACCTGAAGAGTGGTTACTAATGCTGTTAAATGCTGTGGGAGAGTGCTATAACTTAGTCTTGTTTGCACTGTACAATTCATAAGCTGTTTTGTCTATTCAGAGGTATGGTTTCTCCTCTTTGAGTGTCTTTCGCAAAGGTTCTTGCTACAAAAACTAAACAGATTTTCTTAAAACACAAAAAGGTAACTTAATAGATCTTGTTTTAATAGTGTTTAGTGTGGTTTTTTTAGCAGCTTATAACTGAAAGAGAAAGGACTTTAAATTTAGGTTATTCAGTAAATAGCCTGCACTAAATAAAAATTAATACAGTCTGTTATTTGGGGCAATAAGTAAATGAAAATGCTAGTTGTTTTGATAATTTAGTTGAGCCTTAAAGTACTTTTTAGGATAATTTAGCTAAACTGTTGTGGAGCCCATGTAGAAATAAAATAAATGCTTCTTTTTCCTTATGCTTTTTTTTCTTTCCCCTGCTGGAACTGCTTAATGCAATAAACAGAGAAAAATCCAGATGTGACCCTAGGATAAATCACTGCAGCTTTCTTAACTGTTGTGATGTGCATTGTTGCTGAATCCTAGTTGGTATTATGTCATTGTTAGATTTACCTGTTACTCACATTCCTTCCTTCAGAGATAAAGAAACAAACCCTCCAAGTAAGGAGGAGAAGACCAGAAGTAACCTTATCAGTTCTTGTTCTTCTGGGATCTCAAGGCATACTTACATCTTTTGCTGTAGTGAGATTTTTATTTTTTTTTTTTGTTCAATAATTCGCTTTCCAAGGGTTGATATCTTTAACAATTTTTTTCTTTCTTTGAGCTGAGATTTCAGCATGAGCTGTTTTCTTCTTCCTTTTGGAAAGTCTTGAATTAAAAAGTTCATGGTTTCCTGGGAAAACTCTCACTATTCTCCATTAAGGAGAAAGAGCTTTTGTATAGAGTTCATTTTGAATGTGAAGGCGAACAGTTTCAGAGTTCTTGATTGTTCTAGTTGAGTTGCTGCATCTTTGACTGCTACGTGGCCCAATATCCTGTCCCCATCTCCCCTTTTTTAATGCATGTTGGAATGGAATTTTTACATTTTTAGTCGACTGAACCCTAAAGCTAGGCAGGCAGCATTTGAGCATAATTTATGCGTTGCCATGGTCCAGCCAGCAGTGTCAGCTGAAAAAGCTGAAAAAGCTGACACTCTTGAAAATATCATGTCTTGGTTTTAACGAAAGATGTATTTAATGGGCTATTGAGGGAGGTATTTTTTTCTAAATGTGAAGCAGAAGGAATTCTTTTAAATTATGCCTAGGTAGAGCTGTGTTTAAAAGGAAGCACTACTGCAGCTTTAGCTGTACTCCTACATTTTTCATTTTTCAGGATTCTTAGTTGCTACAGAAGGTTTTTTACTAGTTTGAAGTGGCACAAACTAATTTAAATTTTCCAACAAGATAATTCCCGAAGTGGTTAGCTTTTCAACTGATTACATTCCAGTCCAGTTTTACTCATCTTAACAAAAAATTAAAATAGTCCATTTTATTTTGATAAATGGTTTAAAAAATTGTGCTTCAAAACATAGAAATAATAGGCACTGTGTTCAGAACCTCTGTTTTGAAAAATAGATCTTCCATCAAAACAGTCATTAGGAAGTAATCTCTGCAGCATATCCATCCATGATCCAGTAAGACTGTATTCAGATCCTTAACAGATGTTTGAAAACTGATCATTAGTTACACGAGTGCCCCTTCTATTTCACTTCTGCATATAAGTTCCTATCAGCATATACATTCGTATGGATGTATATATATGTCTTTGTGAGTGTATATATATGCACACACTTACACTCACACATGCATGTGCGCACACACACACTCTGCTGATACTCTGTTACAAAGATCGGAAAAGCTCCATTTGGCTGATGGGCATCTACAGTCCTGCAGGGAATAGGTAAATTTTTGATACTGTAAACAAACAAACAAAGAAAGGGGGGGGAAAAAAAAAAAAGGAAAAAAAGCCAAGAACAAAGCTTTTGGGCAGAAAATTAAGTATGAAAGGCAGATACAAAAATATTTCCCAAGTCTATGGACCTGACACACAAACAATTAAGTCATGTGTTTCTTGGCATATGTGGAAATCCTGACTTACCATTTTAGTACGGATTATTTACCCATAGCTTTCTCCTTGAATTCAGTCTATCCCCCTCCTGCCCCCCCAATTAGACTATTTAATGTTTTGGGCTACAGAACAAATTATACAGCAAGTAATATTAATCCATCAATTGTTTAACAATGGAAAGATCTTATTATCTTTCATTAATTCCTTATAGTCATCAGCAGGATCTTGAATTGTTGCTTAGGAAACAATTTAGGTAATGTAAAAGTGGTCTAAAAACTTTCAGACTCCAGTTGACATCAGGTAGGACATTTCTTTTTGCTGCTGAATGTGCTATTGAGGCTATTCTACTCATTTGAAGAGTCAGCAAGCCACTTGATAACAAATTCTTGTATTCTGTGACTACTGTTTTTTTTGCATTTCTGTACCTATTGAGCTACAGCAAATTTGTTAATTTCCCAAAATGCAGATAATCTAAAATGCAGTTGATTTTGTATGGTGCTGTGGTTACATGCACCTTGTCTTAACAGCAACTGAGTTAGGTTTGTATGTTCTCCTAGCTTGTAGTTCAGTTTAACACCATTTTATTCCATTGCTGTTCATCCCCAGCTGTCACCGTGGCTTTTACAGTTCAGGTGGGTATGTGTATGTTGGTGTGCTGTTACTCCCTAAGAAAGCAAGTTTCTTCTGTAAGCACTGGGGAAGAACAGCTTTTCCAGTCAGTACAGGGCCTGTGCGTGTTGCCATTTGAACTAATCCCCAGCTCTTATTCATAGCCTGCTTCAAGTCAGCCCTGGATGTTTCTTATACCACAGGGAATCAAGCTTTGCCTGTTTGCTGCAGTTAATTTGCTCGTTCCCTGGCTGCAGTATTCTTTTCAAAAGGTTTTTCTGAAGTTAACTGAGGCTGTCCTAGTAAAACAAGATCCAGTGGAGCTGTTTTTCACTTGGCTTTTTTTGAGTGTCGGGATGAGCAGATATTGTACTTAGAGCAATATGCTGCTTTCTGTGTTGAAAACTGCACTGCAAGAAGATCTGTAGCCAGATCCCAGTGGAAGGAAGACCAAACACCACCTGCATGCCTGCTTCAGTATAGGGAGTTTTGTAGCCAAAGGAGGAAATATTACAGTAGCTTAGGAGAAATGGCAGGCCCTGTCAAGGAGAAAATAACCATACTTGCAGCATTACAGAGGATGCTAAAATCTGATTCAAATCTTAAGATCTATTCATTTGAAATTGCAACAAAACATAGATGATATCGGTACTGACACTGGATTATTTCCCGTTAATGCAAGGCCTAATTTGGGAGGGGTTGTGATCTCACAGAGTCTTCAGAGTTGGAAGGGACCTCTAGAGATCATCTAGTCCAACTCCCCTGCTAAGGCAGGATTGCCTAGAGCACATTACTCAGGACTGCATCCAGGCGGGGCTTGAAAATCTCCAGAGAAGGGGACTCCACGACCTCCCTGGGCAGCCTGTGCCAGTGCTCCGTCACCCGAACTGTAAAGGAGTTTTTCCGTGTATTGTTATGGAACTTCCTATGTTCCAGCTTGTGCCCATAATGAATCTCAAAATGAATGTTAGCAGTATGCTGTTTAAATGTGCTGATGTAATGACTTGTTTCAGTAGATAGATTGGTTTGTCACCCAAGGCAGAAGTTACACACCTGGGAAGATGGAATACAGCCATATATGACATTTTGGAAAGGGGTCACAGTAGGTGAACAGCTAAGTGTGACTTCCAAGTTAAAGGCTGGGAGGGTGGGGAGGAAGTGGTAGTAACATTTCTGAGTAGAAAGAAATTAGGAACAGAGACAAAGGGGATGGCATTCTTGAGACTGGTAATGGAATACTGCATGTTGTGCTGTCTATGGGGTTTTGGGTTGTTTTGGATCGTGTTCAGAGACAATGCAGGAAAAGGGCATGAGGTGTCCACAGACTGGAAAAAAATGCTTGAAAGTAAGAGAATTACAGAAGTCAGGCTGTCTGGCTTATCAAAAGATTAAGATGCAGTTTATTCTAGCATAGGAGTAGGTTGGAAATAAGGAAAGTGAAAGAATTCTTTGTAATCTTGGGAAGAAAGAAAAAAGATCTAAGGCTTGCAGGTGAAGCAAATATAAGCCAAATATTTTCCTTGTTTGAGATATTCTGTTTCAAGCTGGACACATTTCTGTGATGTATGCTGAGCCTGGTAACAGAAAGATAAGGAAAACATAGAGGACGGCAACATACGGGAAGCTAATACAATCTGATTGTATTTTTTTGGTCTTTAAACTGAAACAATGAAACTGCCATCATGTCTGAGACTCATCTTCAACTTCACAGAATGAGTATTCATTCAGAATTGTCAGCTTAATAAGTATTGTAAATTCTCTGTTTGTGAGTTTTTGTTTAATTCGTACCTGATATCTGGCTGCATAATGACTCTTGAGACAACTCAGATTTATGTGGCAGTTTTTAGTTGGTTTTGTTTGTTTTTAAGAATAGATGTTAGCATTCAGCAATTCTTTGATCTGCTAAAGATGATGGAAAAAAACAACTATAATATTGATCTAGATCAACATTCTAGTTGTTTGATCCAGATGTGACTTTGGGAAGAGGCTGAACAGGGCTAAAAGTTTCATGATGTTTAGCTGTAACTGTGAAGTCTTTTGTGGAGCAGGGAAGAAGGTCGTTCTTCTAGCTCTGTTTGTTTCTCTAAATCCAAGCTTGTGGAATAGTATTTTGTGCCTTTCCCATGCAGTTCAATATCTGAAGCATAGCTGCACGCTGTAGTTCTGCAAAGTATTTATTGCCTTTTAATTTAAAACTCCAATTTGTTTTGCAGGTGATTTTTCTGACCACACTTTTCTACCTATTGAGTTCCAGTGATGAGTATTACAAGCCAGTAAAGTGGGTGATAAGCCTGACGCCTTTGTCTCAGCCAGGTCCCTCCTCAAATATAGTTGGCCAATCTGTGGAGGAAGCAATAAGGTATGTTGTTGATTTCTTGCCCTTTCTGGAAAATTCTTTTTAAAATTTGATATTCAACTAGAAATACTTAGCAATTGCAACAGCTTGTGTTTCAAAGACAAGTTGGAAATCTCCAAAGATTTTCAAGAACCTATCATTGATGATATTTTACCCTTGATTGTTAAAAAAGCAATTTGATTGGACTTGCCTAAAAAAATTTCAGAGGTCTGTGCTGTAGTGAAGACTAGTATTTTATAAAATTGATAACACCCATGACAACTCTAACCCATCAGGAAGCAGTGTGTTTGCAGCGATGTTGACAGTAATGGCTAGTGCAGCTCAGTACGAGCAGATTCATACAGCAAAACAATTGAAATGGAGGACCTGGCACCTGTGCTGCACACATTTCAGTTACTTAGTTTGAGCTATTTTTCATCTGATCTTGAGGACTAAGTACCTGTTTGCAGCTGGAGTGTATTAGATATGCTCCTGAGTGCATTTTCTGGTTCAGTTTCATCTGAGAGAAATCTAGTTCATGATCTCCATGAACCAAATTACACTGAAGGGAACAACAGGGGAGCACTCTCCTTATCCCACTTAAAACACTACTGTACTGCAACTCCAGAGTGCATACAGTGTTTCAGGCTTAGTTACCTTTCTTATATTTCATCTCTAAACTACTACAGTAACTGAAGGAGGATTTTTATTTTTTTTTTTAAATATGGTTCACTGAGATTTCACAATAAAGCAATTTTTGGGGTGGTACAGTAATGTATTTCATTCATCACAAGTGAATGAAACTGTCAGCTTTCACCTGTTAGCAGCGTGAAACACTAACACGTTGGTAATGTAATAAATGGATTTTAAATAAGGTATTTAAGTCATAGCTCACTCTTGCAAAAAACATTGATGGGCTGGGTATAGCCAACAGATTCCATGCTAAATTCTATACACCACTGTCTCTTGCATCACTTTCTGTGCCATCTTGTGCACACATACAAAACATGAATAGACTTTAAACTGCCAATCTATTAATACTGCTTTCCAAACTCATTGCCAAATGAAGGGGCAGTCCAGGTAGAAAGCAATAAATCCAGAATTCTGCCAAAAAGTTAATAGCCCTTCTCTTGAGTGACTGGTATTGAGTTTTCATTGATCACATGGTTAATGTCGCAGTTCTATCTCTTCTGACAAATGCGAGCAGATTTAGAAACTGAAACTTGTCTCACGAATTGTTCTCCCTAGTCCTTGGTAAAGGGGAACAGTGTCAAAAAATAGGATATGGCTTCTCTGGGCGTGAATACTGTGCAAGGAGGATTGCATCAAATGCAATTTTAAGTTTATAGGTCTGTGACACAGATGACCCAGGATATTTGTCAGAGTTTAGAATGGTGGAAAGAAGGAAAATACTGTTAGAGGAACCACAGGAAAATTAAGTAGGAAACATCCAGCATGCATCAGTAACTGCAAATACGATGAGAAAAAGCCAATGTCTAGAGAATGTGGAATGTGAAGCTGCTTGTCATACTCAGGTCTGTGTGTTCACTAAGGTTGCCTGAATCAGTAATTCATTTTTGTCTGTTTGGAGTAGCCTGCACTTGGTGCCTTCTTTGAATTCTCTGGAATGCTGCTTCTGAGATTTTTCACAAGTTCCTCTGTCTTGCTCAGTTGTACCTAGGGATTTATCATAATGCTTCTAGATTAGCTTGCATTCCACTCAACACTTAATATGAAGAGTATAGTAACAAATTCCCGTGAGTTCATGCATGCCCAGTTTGTTGTCATACGAAAAGCAATTGCCACTACAAGCCATTTCTTTTGACACGAAGTAGCAGCTGCCCTTTGTTTCTGAAGATGAGTTGTTGCTAGAGGAGTAGGAACCTTGTGTAGAGGCTTGTTTACCTCCTCTATAAAAGGCATGTAAAATGGATATTAATGCTTGGTGGTAAGATGGAAGAGCCTTCATTTGTATTATCATTTATCAAATAATGAAACTTCTGTAGTCACTTTCATCATTGGACTGTGACAGCATTACACAACATGAATTCAGCCTCAAAAGACTCATGCGTTGAAGTTGACCAAACCATAGAAAAATCAGATTATAAATCTTGAAAGTCACCAACTGTGTTCCAGCTCCCATCACTCTTCGTCAGGACGTAGCACGTGCACGAAGCTAAGTGTGCATCTAACTAGTCCTGTCTGGAGGGCAGGGTTCCTTTTGGCAAGAGATGCATTTACATCTCTCTTGCTCATGGACCAAATGACATGAAAATACTCTTCTTCCGTGTTGTCAGTCACTTCTGTTGCTCTTTTACTTAAACTGTGTTCATGTAAAGCACTGGGGAACTTGAATACAATAAAGGAAGTCTGTTCCTTTGTGTCCTTTGCCATTGATTTGTGAGAAGAGCAAGGGGGAAAGAAGAGGACAATCAACAAATGTTTTTTGTAGCTCAAGAAATCCCTTAACTTGAAGCTGTTATCCAGCAACCTAATCAAACCAAGACCTTTTCCCATTGCAGTTTCTCTCATTGGACCTGTGTTGTGATTTTTATTGTCTGGACTAGAAGTAGCTATAGATTTTATCAATATTTTTCTAGCTCCCCTGGTGATGAGTTTGCAAAGACAGTGACAGTTCTCTGTTCATGCAGATTGATTTATGAGGTGTATTTGGGTAAGAACAGTTTTCCAGCCTATTTTGAGCCAAGTGTTGAATCTGACTGTGGCCACTAGGTCGAGGGAGGTCATTCTTCCCCTCTGCTCTGCACTGGTGAGGCCACAAACAGAATACTGTGTCCAGTTCTGGGCTCCCCAGTTCAAGAGAGATGGGGAACTACTGGAGACAGTCCAGCATAGGGCAACTGAGATGATTGAGGGATTGGAGCATCTCCCTTATGAGGAAAGGCTGAGAGAGCTGGGACCCTTTACCCTGGAGAAGAGAAGGCTGAAGGGAGACCTTATTACTACTTACAAATATCTAAAGGGTGGGTTGAAGGAGGATGGAGCCAGACTCTTTTCAGTGGTTCCCAGTGACAGGACGAGGGGCAACGGGCACAAGTTGGAAGTTCCATTCAAGTACAAGAGAAAACTTCTTTATGGTTAGGGTGACAGAGCACTGGCACAGGCTGCCCAGGGAGGTTGTGGAGTCCCCTTCTCTGGAGATTTTCAAGACCCGCCTGGATGCAGTCCTGAGTAATGTGCTCTAGGCAATCCTGCTTTAGCAGGGGAGTTGGACTAGATGATCTCTAGAGGTCCCTGCCAGCTCTGAAAATTCCGTGACTGTTTCTGTCACAATACCTCAGATGTTAAATTTGCATTTGGGGGGGGGAGGGGGGAGATGCAGCTGTGGTGACACTGAAACGGTTTTAAAGCAGTTGAAGGCAATCCATGAGTTACCTGCTACAAGTCAGGGGATGAAGTGCCCTCCCGACCTTTGACAAAAAATCTGTCCATCCAGGACAGAAGGGAGGCAGTACATAGCAGGTGGTGGGAACCACCAGGGATTCTCTAACAGCAAGTGATGCCATGCCTGACCTGAGAGCTTGCTTGGCTAGATTAGCGGTATAAGGGCAGAGCGGTGAATGACAGAAGATAACTTGGAGGCACAGGAAGGACAAGGTGTCATCAGGGAACACCCAGCACAGCTTCACCAAAGACAAGTTGTGCCAGGACCACATGAGCCTTGCTTCCACCACCTGAGGAGGTGACTGTCCTAGCGGGACAAGGGCAGAGCAGCGACTGCCATTTACTCTGACTTTAGCCCGGCCCATGACACAGCCTCCAATGGTATCCATATTGGTGAGGTGTGGACAGGAGATGGGGGCTACGTGGTGGGAGGACCACTACCTTGTGGTCAGCAGGACAAATGCCACCTGTGGCACAGCTGCTAGTAGTGGTGTGCTTCAGGCCAGTGGTGGGTCTGATAATGGTGATGGTCTGAAGTTAGGGCCTGGGTGGCAGTGGTACAGGCCACCTTCTGCAAGGTTGTAGGTGTCCCTTGCCATCTGGGGAAGGCAGCAGCTTGATGGAAGCCAGGCCTTCTCCTCCCTTCTCCCTCGGGACTCGGTACAGAAGAGAGGGCACCTTTTCATGAGGGGCAGTGGGGAAGGAGGGAATAGGAAAGAAGGGCCCATGCAACCTTTGACAATCAACAAAAGAAATATTTATTGGTGGGATGTTGCAGGTGAGCCTGTGGGATGTCCATAGAGTTCGTCGTCTCCCAGCTAATGTTGGGTGCAGAAGCTGGGCTGCTGGTGGGGAGCTGGCCAAGCACTCCTGCGAAGCCATTGACGTGGACGCACAGACGTAGCCAGGGTGCACTGGTGTAGTGCCATGTCACCCATGTGGCAGGTGGACTCACTTGTATTGATTTTTCTTGGTCTTGAGGTGAATCCCACGTCCATGGACCGCACGCTGCTGCTGCTGTCTGGCAGATGAGCAGCTGTTGACCACATACCATGCCTTGGTGGATTGACACCCACGGGCTCCACATTGTTCTTCAGTGCCTTGACTGCCAGGTCACTCCTATGCCTGGGTCTCATACGGTTCCCTGGCAGGCAGATGCACTTGGGCTCCATGCCATTCCCTGGTGGGCTTATGGCCTTGCGCTGCATGCTGTTGATTGCAGAAGCGAGGGCAATCACGCTCATGCAATGAGTGGTGATGTTCCTCCTCCTACGCCTCCGATTGCGCTTCCTCCTCTTGGGAGATGCCTTCCTCGCCTTCCTCCTCCATGGTTGCAGGAAGCAGCTCCGTGGCATCCCACACCAAGCTGAGCAGCCATCAGCCTCACTGCTGCAGCTCTTTCCTGGCCGGCAGATGTGCTTGGGCTCCACGCCATTCTCTCGTGGGTTTACAGCCATGCACTGCGTGCCGTTGATTGCAGAAGCGAGGTCAGTCGCAACTGTGCCATGAGGAGTGACGTTCCTCCTCCGCTGATTGCGCTTTCTCCTCCTGGGCTGAGCCTTCCTCCTCCGTGGTTGCAGGGAGTGGCTCTGTGGTGGACGGCCATCTGTCTCACTGCT